AAGCCTAATTTGTTCGGGCGTAGGGGGCTTGGGTAAAGGGGTCCCCCCTCGAGTCGTGGCTGCTCTCTCTTTTGTCCAATTTCCAGGCTTTTCCCCCCTCTGCCGCCTATGGCTTTTGCTCTAAGGGCCCAGCTTAGGGCCCTTTCCTCTCCTTTCCATTGTCCCCTTCATCTACTGGATCTAAAAAACCTGCTTTTCCGGGTGGTGGGAATCTAATTTTTTTTTTGCATTCTAATGGATTACCTGGAATTTTTGCAGAAGGAAGTTCGGTATATTTTTGAAAAATCGGGGCGGACAAAGGTATTCCAATAAACTTCAGAAAATGAAAGAATTTTTAAGAATTTTCTGATCTATTTTCAACTTTATCTTTTTCAAAAAATGTTGACAATTGTTAAATCGGGAATTACGCTAAACAAATTTCGTAAACGGAATTATGCTATTCTGTTCTCTATTCCCTCCTAGCATTAGTGCGTCGACTATTAGCCTTTCCAACCCCTTTAAACTTGAAAATTCTGGTAAACTTGTAACTATGTATTTTTGTCCTAAATATTCGCCCCCGTAAAAACCCGAAGCGGTACTATGGTTTCTGAAAATATCCCGCACTTTCTCACACACCCATTACAATTTTCACCTGGCCTCCGGGTCAGGGTCCCGTCAGTGCAACAAGAGTCGATGCTCAATTTGACGCTCTTTTCTAAGTTTCACAAATGGTTTCCGCTGGCTCGACTTCAAACATGCAAATTCATTCTCCCAGTCACTTTGCTGGTATTCCATTTGATTTAGAAACTGCCTCCAGTTGCCTTTTGGTCTAGCTTTGGTTAAAAAACTTCATAAATTCTTGTCGGACTGTCTTTTAGCCAAACACTGCCACAAAAATCTGCAAAAGTCTCCGCAAAAAATTCCTTAATGTCCTCTGCTAGCTTGCCATCCTGACCAATGCAACCTGGCCTCAAATTCCCCAAAAATCGTTGCGAGCCTGCGACTCCCCAATGTATCCTCCTGGCAAGCTATAGTCAATCCCCCTTGTCCCACCAACGTGCCAAACTCCAATCAGGCAACACCTTTCCGATGCCCTTTAGCCTCGCCTCGCGCCCCACAGAGGGAAAATGATTTGAAACCGGATATTCCGGAGGCCAGGGAATGGATAGAAGAGAGAGAGAGAGAGAGAGAGAGAGAGAGATGAATAGACATACAGACAACCACTTCTTCTAGGGTTTCCTTCTCCTCTAAAATGGCCACATTCCCTCCACCCTTATTGGGTGGTCTATGCCAAAAGCCCGGTATCGAATCGATTTCCGATTGGCTACTATGGGAATGGTTGGCGGATCGTTGCGAATTTTGGCGCATATTTTGCCAAAAAGTATATCCCGCTCTGATTCCTCAATTTTCTCTGCTCGTATGCTGCATCTTTGGAAGATCCAAGGACCTCTGCTAGCTTGCCCTGTCTGTTCTCTTAATTTTCCTAAAGAACCTCCGCTAGCGAGCTTGCCCACTTATCTGATCGCTGCCGGCTCAAGCAACGTTCAGACCGTTTTTCAAGAACCTCTGTTAGCTTGCCCCGTACCAGACTAATTTTCCTAAAGCATCTGCACCAACCTTCCCTAACTGTAACCCTCTTATGTTGACCGTGGGATTTCGTTATGGGAGATAGCACATCTTGTGCAGAATTTTTCGCTGAATCCGAATCCGTTTTCAAAAGTTGCGGAACCCCGCGGAAAACAGGTTAAAAATCGAATTTAAATTTGGGCGAATCTGGTCCATCGCGCCCCTTGGGGGTTCAAAGAGGCTCCCCACCGCCACCCTCCCAGCAACTCGACGGTACAATGGTTAGGCGCTGGTTTCTTGAGCGGGCTGTCACTGGTTCGACGCCTGCCGCGGTCGCTTTTTTGCTTTTGCATTTTTTTTTATCGGAAACTAGTTTAACGTTGTTCCGCAACACTGTGATATAGTTTTTTACAATTTCTTTTTCTATTTTCTTATAACAATAGATAAAGATTCACACCAACACGACGGCGCAAGTTATTCTCGCCAGCGCAAGCCAATTTGTAGTTCCCGACGACATAAACTGCTCGTTCTCCGTTCGCATAAAGTAATTCAGAACAGGAAATTACAAAAAAAACGATATGACAGTGTTGCGGAACAGCGTCACAGTAGTTTCCGATAAAAAAATGCAAAAGCAAAAAGCGACCGCGGCAGGCGTCGAACCAGTGACAGCCCGCTCAAGAAACCAGCGCCTAACCATTGTACCGTCGAGTTGCTGGGAGGGTGGCGGTGGGGAGCCTCTTTGAACCCCCCAGGGGCGCGATGGACCAGATTCGCCCAAATTTAAATTCGATTTTTAACCTGTTTTCCGCGGGGTTCCGCAACGTTTGAAAACGGATTCGGATTCAGCGAAAAATTCTGCACAAGATGTGCTATCTCCCATAACGAAATCTCACGGTCAACATAAGAGGGTTACAGTAAGCATCTCTGCTAGCTTGCCCATTCGCAGATCCAGCATTTCTCAAAAAACGCAGGCAGGCTAGGGCTCCTTGTTGCTCCCTAAATTTCGCTAAGCATCTTTGCTACCCTGCCTTTCCGCACACCTTTATTTCCCAAAGGACTTCCGATAGCCTACCCTTCATCTCCTCAAAAACCTCTGCTAGCCTGCCGTTCCCTACCTCCCGTTTTCCCAAAGAATATCTTGCGTCGCCCCTAAAAACTGCAAGGTTTCTTTTTCAAGCCGTCACTTCTCAAAGTTTCTCTGCAAGCCTACCCCACCGAACTTTCCCTGTTCTTCGACCTTTCCCACCAAATAAAATTCCGGTGCGGGGTTAGCAGAAAAAATGCGGGGCGACCCCTACAGCCGGTGGAATGGCATTAATCGAGGTGAGAGAGAGAGAGAGAGAGGGAGAGAGAGCAGGAATATATATGGGGTCCCGGTGCCGTGTGATGGAATTAGTGGGTATTCGGATTGACTTTGGATTGACTTGAGAGGTGGTCGATGGGGTGAGTGGACAACGGCACACCACACTCAAATCCACCAGCTTTTCGCTAATTTTCCTGCATCATATCGGTGAAGCACCGGAAATGTGTAAATTGGTCTGCGCCGGATTGCGCCGCCTGATTTCCACTACAGACATAGAAGTATTCCGGTCGGCTGAATTCTCCTTTGGCTAATTGGCTAAGCTCTCGCTTTTCACCATTACGATCCGGGTTCGACTCCCGCTCAGTGCGGAACTTTTTGCTTTTTGACCAAGTCATTCAGATACCTATCACTTTTGCCCAGGCTCCCCGGATTGTTTTTCTTTAATTCCACCGTTATTTCGAATTTTAAAGGTCCAGGCAAGCACAAATTATGGATTGTTTTTCATGGACCTCTAGAGCCTTTGTCGAGTACGTCAACATCCTAATCACGCCTTGTCTCTTTAAAGTGGCCTGCAAAGCAATTTTTTACTGTACGTTCTCTAATTCACATTTTCATAATTTCTTTTCCATTTTCATCTCTCTTTCTCTTTTTTCTCATTATCAATTCGTCCTTTTTCCATATAGTATCCCGATTACGGTCGGAATTCCCCCCCTCCCCGTGCCTCTACCTTTAAAATACGCAATTTAAAAATATGCTACACCTATTTTTGCAAACATTTGAAACGAAAATTGGCCCCTAAAAGCGCGTGGGTCCTGAATTGGCACCCCGAAATTTCCATTAGCAAATTGGCGAGGGCGGCACTAGCGTGTACTCTCGAAGGAGCGTAATTAGCATAGCCGGAAGGGCCGAGTACTAGGTTTATCCTACTATATATATAAAAAAATAGTGTCTGTGTGTGTGTGTGTGCCACTTTGCATCCACTTCCGTATCGTTGTTCCAGTCGTATCTCTATAGGGGAAGAAGTTAGGGGTGGGTACGATACGTCATTAGGTGCGTAATGGTCTAGGGATGACTGCCCACATATCAGATTTATAAAAATCAGCCATTTTCGATATTAAATTTAAGTTTTTGTAAAACCCTCTTCGCTAGGAAAAATTAACATTGACCGGAAGTAGGAAGTCGCCTATATAAAGGGTCACAAGCGAATCATTTTCATTTTTTTGGTCATCTGAATTCAGCGCAATTATGCAAAGCGTAGAACAGCATGCGGTCCAAGACGAGGCCAGGGCTGAAAAGTCGTGAAGCGGCTTTTCAACCCTGGTAGGATTTAAAAGGATTAGGATTAAAATAAAGTAGTTTTGCACCATTCAAAAGATATCTAAACTTTATCTGAAAAGAAAATTTACGTTACAGGGCCGCATAATTTTTAACGTCATATATTAAGTTTAAAAAATTGTTTAATTAGCATGTTAATGAGCCCGTCATTAGTACGCCAATGGACTTTAGGAAAAAAAAGTTAAAAGCCTGATTTTCCGATTTCTTTTCAGGTAAAAATTTGCAATTAATGATCAAAATCCTATCCGAAAAATACCGCAAAAAGCCGTGCGGATTTCGGCGCTGATCGGAATTTGGAATTTGGAATTCTTTGGGTGATGGGGAGAATTTTCTATTATTTGGTTGTGAGGGTTGAAGAGGGGGGGATCCCGTTTCTTTTGGGCCTATAGGTGAGAGGAGGGGGGAATAGTGGAAGGGCCCAGTGACTAGGGGCCCACTAGGGCCCAGAAGAGAGAGAAAGGGAGGGAGAGAGGGGCCCACAGGGGCGCTGGGGGGCGGGGCGTGCTGCGTTGCGTCACCCTATATCTTGACCTCCCCAATAGAGGCACGGCAGGGGAAATTCTATATCTAAAATTCGCTAAAAACTCTGTATATATAAATATTAAAATCTGTATATTCTATATCTATTAAATAATAAAATTCGATACCTCTCCAATCGATATTTTGCGTTGCCGGTTCCAGATGCCGAATGTCGCTGCTGTGCGTGACAAGTGGGTGACGGGTGTGGTTGCGGTATAAACTCGCCGCGCCAACATCTTCAACAAGTTCACACCGGCCGTTTTTTGGGGGGTCCTAAAGGGCCGGGCAACCCATAAATATGGACCCCGACTCGTTGACACTGGTCGTTTCAGTCAAGAAGGCTCGGCTACTCGGCTCCAGTGGTGGGTTCTACAGCTTTTTGGAGCTCTTAAATTGACTACTACGCCGCGATACCATGAACAGGAAAGTGATTGGGGTATTTTTTTTCGGGAAACTGGCGCCTTGGGGAATAGCAATTTGGGTCCAAATTTTGCAGGAAATTGCTAAATTTGAGTGAAAATCCCTTTTTCGATTTTCTACTCTTGAATGTGAATGGTTGTAAAATCAGTTTAATATTATATAAACAAATTCCATAATTTAAACCCGATTTTAATTGCGTAATCGGTTAAATTAACTATTAAAAAATTTCAAATTGTAGCTGAATTAAACAGAAAAAGCAAAAAAATTAGATCAATATTTTCTAAACTCTCTTACAATTTTCGAAAAAATCCATCTTTTTTACTTTGTTGCTAGGCGGTGAAAAAATAGCACATCCCTTTTCGAAACTCCGGATCAGTCGGTAGAGCATTGGACTTCGAATCCAGCACTCGAGGGTTCGGATCTTGCGATCGTTTTTATTTTTGCTTTTTGTTCAAAAGTGGAACCTCTCTTTTGGCCTTTTTTGTTAGTAAGCATCTAAGAATTTTCTCACAGAAGTAGAGGGAATCCTGTTTTTGTTATTCTAAGCGCAAATACTTTACAAAACTACCAAAAATATAGATTTTTCGACAAAAGTTTTGAAGTTTAGATTTTTTCAGATAGTTTTCCTAGCTAAAATGTGATTAAATTTTACTAAAAACACTATTAAATTAGGTGCTATGGCATTTTTAGGTTTTCTGGGTTTGTAGAAAAATTTTGCGCTCGGAAACCCCCCTGATACTGCCAAAGCTCCTTCCAATCGATTCTCCTTTTCCAACCCCAAATCTCTCCCGACCATTCAAATCATTTCTTTATTTTCACATTTTCCCAAATGAAACCCGACAAATCCGACTTCAGGGAATCTCCCCGTATTTGAACTACACCCACCAGAACGGCGCCTAATCCCCCGGTTCCATTTAATTGCGTTTTTATCGCCCCCAACCGCCAGTCGACCTAGATATTTGTTCAAATCGAAAACAGCAAATACCGTATCAGTCGTCTGAATTTTGCAGCGCGCTAATATATTTGAACCCCGGTTGGCAAGGCGAAAACAAGAAATTTGAGCTGGGCCGGGTGGTTCTTTGGTATCGAGTACGGGCTACATGGCATCCAAATTACGACCGGGAAATAGTAGATAATTTTAAGGGAAATGAAACGAAGAAAAACCTATTTTTTAATAACGTGAGCTGGACCATCTAACAGAGATTCTGGCGGATCGAGGCAGGCTAGCAGCGGTTTTCTAGACGAATTTAATAGGATTTAAAATTGTTATTTTTTCTTGCTTTCTTATTTGCAAATTTTCACGTTATTTTTCGGTGTCGGCTAGCAGCGATTCTTTGGGAAGCGGAAATCCAATCAATCGCCCATTTTCCTCAAAGAACCTCTGCTAGCTGCTTTTAAACAATCAAACCCGAAGGCAGGCTAGCAGAGATTCTTGAGGAATTTCGGGACCCAAGAATGTGAAAATTGGCTATTTTAGCACAATTTCCCGTTCAAATTTCCCAGGAAACTAGAAAATCCCCCATGCTTCCTGTTTCATTGCCGCCATTTTTTCTAGCGGTCCCCAGGCCACGCCATAATATGCTTAGGTCCCGCGACGACCCAAAAGGGCCAAGAGTCGCCTTCCTTCCCCCTCATAAGATGAGAAGAAGGAGCAATTGGGGGGCTCACCGGGGCCCAGGGGCCATTTCTCATTATTCGCTGTCGACGACCATCGGCTACGGGGGGACTGCTCTTTACAGGGGGACACAGAATAGGGCAGAAAAAGAGGGGGGAGGGAAAGGGATCTGATGTCAAAATGGGCAGGGAAAAGGGAGATATTGCAATTCGGGTGGATATCGCTCTACTAGACCCTGTCATTTATGAGGAAATTAAAATTCTGGAATTCTGCACTCGCCGACACGGGCTTGACATGAAAATTGAATTTTTAAGGGGAATTGTTGCGTTTTAAGATCAAAATTACACTAAAAAATGCATCCAAAATGAACTCAGAGATCGGCAGGTTAGCAGAGGTTTTTCAGGAAGGGAGACTAGCAGAGATTCTTGGGGAAGGGCAGGCTGGCAGCCATTCATTGGGAGCAGGCTAGCAGAAATACTGTAAAAACGGCATGCTTGCAGAGATTACTTGTAAAAGCGCAGGCTAGCATAGATTCTTTAGTAGTTGGCAAGCTAGCCTAGATCCTTGGAAAAAGGCAGGCTAGCCGAGAAACTTTGGGAAACGGTGAACGAGCAGAGGTTATTTGGGAAATGGTCAGCCTTCATTAGGAGAGGGCAGGCTAGCAAGGATTATTTAGCAACAGGCTAGCCAGCAGAAATTTTTATGGACGAGGCAGGATATCATTAATGCGTCTACAAGACCGGAAAGCTATTCAGGAAAAAACCCGAAAAAGCATTCCACCCCCATCCTATTTCCAGACGAATTCCACTCGTACGTCACCGTCAAACTCCAGAATGTCAAGTCGACGACGATGGCCGTCAGAGGGGGGCAGCCACAATGGGAACAGGAGTTTATATTGTAGGTTGTAGCTTGTAGTCTGTAGCTGACAGCTAAAATCTTTCCAATGATCCCAGCAACCCCAAATTTTAGCGAGACAAACCGGCCGGACGAGAGTATGAACATCGAGCTCTGGTCGAAGGGTGTACTGTGGGATAAATTGTTAGGGGTTGCACTGCTTCCGCTTCATCAAGTGCATTTCTCCGCACAACCTGGAGCAGGACAGTGGCTACAGATTGGTAAGTCAGTGGAATATGTTAATTATTGTGCGATAACTAGAGCGCGAAAGCGAGAGAAAGAAAGAGAGAGAGAGAGAGAGAGAGAGAGAGAGAGAGAGAGAGAAAGGGGGGAGAGCGAGCGGTTGGGAACTTCTTCCTCTTCCAATCTGTCATTTCCAGATGCCGAAGTTGAGACTCGTGGTGGCGTAGCGATAGGAACTCGCTCTCCCACCGGCCATTCCCTACTCGTTGATGCTCGTTTTGAGTTGCCGTTCGGTCAGTTATTTGCTCATTTTTATAAGCTCTTGCTCACTCTCTCATGCTCCCACACTTCATTTTTCTCTCAAGTGTACTCTATCTCTCTCTCACTCTCCCGCTCTCTCTCACTCTCTCGCTCTCGCTCTCTGTCGCCCTCACGCCCTGTTTCGCTCCTTTTTTGCTTCTCATGCTCAATCTCGTTTTCTTGCTCTTACTAACGCACTATTTCTCTAGTTTTCGGCTAATTTTTAACAATCGAATTTGGAAAGGTGATTTTTCTGCCCATTCCTCCCAGATGTATCCCAAAAGTTTCCATCTCCACCAAGCCAGTATCCCAAAAGCTCTGCTACCCCCTTCGGGTCCATTCCATGAATATTTGGGGGGCCCTCGATTTTCTTCCTCTTTTTGAGATGGACACGAGAAGACTAGCCCCCCCCCCCTCGGATAGATCTATGAAGTGCTGTGTATCGAGGGGAGAAGCCCCCTTCCTCTGCTTTGTCGGCTTTTCGGCTTTTTTTCGTAAAGGCATCGGTCGGCCTCCTCGCGGGGGGCTGGGGCTCAATCCCGGGGGACCCTTATGCCCTTAGAGAGAAGAAGAAGCCGGCCACGATCTGAAATGCATCCGTTGAAGGGGGGCAGTCTTCAGCTTCACCCCCTTCCCTTCCACAACCCTTTAAATTATTAAGACCCGGCGGGGTTGGGGGTTATTTAATGGCTTTTTTTTGGGTCTGGGTGTGTCTTTTGACTTTCAGTATTTCTTTTTCTCTCGCTCTATCTCTCTCTCGCTCTCTCACTCTTACTCTCGTTTGAGTTCTCTCGACACTTCCTCCCCCGCGAAATAGTCATTATTTGTGGGTCGGGCCCTAAAGGTTGCGTTCGACCGGTTTTCAGTTCCGTCGATTTTCCGATTTTCTCCATTTTAACTTTAAAAATTCCCCAAGAATCTCTGCTCGCCTGTCCCTTTTGTACGTGGCTTCGAATTCCTAAAGAATCTCTGCTCGCTTGCCCTTCTCGACTGCATTTTTTCCGTAAATAATCGCTGCTGATTGCCCCTATTATCAACTTCATAAAGAATAACTGCTCGTATTCTAGAGCCTTTTTACCCCCCAATAAACTCTGCTAGCTTGCTCTTTTAACTCCTCGAATTTTCCAAGGAATTTCTGCTAATCTACCTTCGGGTATGTTTCCTAAAGAATCTTTGCTAGCCTGCCCTCTCCATTTCTTTCCACAAGGATTTTGCTAGCTTTCTTTTCCATTTCTCCCAATTTCCTAAAGAAGTCTGCCAGCCCACCAATTCTGATTTCTTTGTGTCCACGCTCCAAAATTTAGTATATTGTTGTTATGTGTTCGTTCTAGGGGGGTGTTCTGGGTGGAAGTTATGGTCCTCCCCCCATCCCTTCCCTCCCTAATTGCCGGCCCTTCATCCCTTATTTTGCTTTTTCCTCCCCTCTGTGTGGGCTTCACTTCAAGAGTCCCACTGTTCCGCCACACACAAAAAGTCGAGAATCCAATTTAGTTTTTTGCCGCTTTGCATGCGTCGCCATTTCGGAGAGGGAGAGAGAGAGATAGAGCGATAGAGAGAGAGGGAGGGAGAGAGAGCGCGAGAGAGAGCGATAGAGAGAGCGATAGAGAGAGAGCGATAGAGAGAGAGCGATAGAGAGAGCTATAGAGAGAGAGCGACAGAGAGAGAGAGAGAGAGAGAGAGAGAGAGAGAGAGAGAGAGAGAGGGAGAGGGAGGGAGGGAGGGAGAGAGTTCCTGACTTATCTACGCTAGCATGCCCTCGATGCTAAATTAAGATCTCTTTCCAGCCAACAACCCTCTAATTGACCACCATTTTTTCATCCAAATCCACCCCCCGCCGACCTATTCCATTTTATGGCCACACGAGACCTTTTTCGGGCCTGAATTCTATTTTTCGCAAACCAGAGGAAATTTCGGGCAATTATTGGTGGGGTTGATAGAGAAACATCCAGGGAATTTAAGCTTTCGAGCAAACCAGAGAGATGGAGGGAGAGAGAGGGAGAGAGAGACAGAAAAACGGGAGAGAGAGAAACTGGCAGCCTGGCGGAGAGTCTAGCATGGGCAAACTAGCCGAGGCGATTTAGGAACCGTGCTGTTTTAAAATTGGTATTATTTTAGGGCATGCTAGCAGAGATTCTTTGGGAAATTCAGGAAAAATGGAATCGTTTTGAAAAGGCGACTTTAAAGAACTTCAATATTTCAAAAATGATATTTGAGGCCGGCTAGCAGAAATCATTTAGGAATCGATCCGACGATTAGAGTAAAGGATCATTAGCGAATTCTGGCGGCTACAGATCTTGATGATTTTCAATCTAGCAAAGGCAAGCCAGCAGCAATAATTTGCGGAATTAATTTGTGTTTTTTTTTGCTCCTCCTCAAACACACACCAGAACCCCCCCCCCCCCATTTGGCCATTTGCCATCCGATGTTGTGGCCCTATTCTATTTTTTCGCGTTGTTCGAGTGCCCTCCCCTTCCATTCTATGGCCCGTTTCTTGGTTCCGGAACAATGCTAATTCCACCCCTTTTTTGCGGCCCTCCCCTCCCCTCGTTTCTTAGGGCCCACCCACCCGTTGTGGATGATCATCTCCTCCCATTGCTCTTCCTCACCCATCCAAAACCCCCCTATAGACCGGGAATCGCTGCCTTTTATTGCTTGAATTCTCTCATTCTACGCCACGCTGAAACCGCCAATTTTTGGGCTTCTCCTACCTAGCTTATTCCTTATTTTAGTCCAGACAAGCTAGTAGGGATTTTAAGACTTTTGGAATTTTTGATACCGTAATTTGGAAAGTTCTGGATTTCGTTGCTCGAATTCGCTATTTCTATCCCCACCATTTTTTGAGGCTGCTTCCTTATTTTAGTCAGGGCTAGCCAGCAGGGATTTTCGAGATCTTTAAGTATCGGTGCTGGTTCATTATCGGGGGGTGGACGGTGAGGAGGGGACCCAAATTAAAGCGACAACGTTTTGGGGCATGCCAGCAGTGATCATTTGCCGAGCCCTGGAAATCTGGAGCGAATAGCGTGCGCTTCTTGCCGTCGTGGTCCTCCTCTTTCTTTTCCAGCGTCAATCTGGCTTACAATCAATTTAGTGGGCTTCCCCTTCTTTCCCTCCCCAATTTCGGGGTCCCACCACGCGGCCCCTAGTCCCTCCTAGCTCGAGATATAGTCCTAAGTTTTTTGCTATTTCTGTTTCTGTCAATATTTTTTAAAATATCATCTTCCACTACGAATTAAATTAAAAGAATTAAATTAAAACTCAGTTTAATTACAAATACCTGTTTCCAGATGCTGCACCAGGAGAAGCTGAACTGCTCCAGTCCCGTCTCGACCAATTGAACAGGTTGCAACTGGAGGTGTGAATTTAGCGATTTTTTAACTTTTAAATAGCTATTGAAAAATTACTTGTCGGTATCAAAACTTTTCTGTCCTCTGGTCAATTGGTAGTGCGCTCGCCTAATAATCTCAAGGCCCGGGTTCGAACCCCCGCCGCGGCAAAGTTTTTTGTTTTTGCGAAAAAAATTAACTTTCCTTTTTTAATAAAGTTTTTCAGGTCGACGCCACGCTGCCGCCACGCGCACCCCTCAATCATTGTAAGTCCAAACAAGAATTTCCTCTCTTTTTTCCCTGAAATCTGGCCGTTCCAAATCCTAGAAGTTGCCATTATCTGCTGAACTACTGTACCTTTAATGGTGGCTATAATTTGCTGTACTAGTCGGCAGCTTTTGCAGAAAATTGTTAGGTAGTGCTGTTTGATTTCGTCAAACGTTATTTTTAACTTGATAGCTACTTGTCTCGATTTTGAACTTTATATCCTAAAGAATCTTTGCTAGCTGGCGTTGAACGTTATCGCTCGCTTCCTCTTTCGCTCTCTCTCTCTCTCTCTCTCTCTCTCTCTCTCTCTCTCTCTCTCTCTCTCTCTCTCTCTCTCTCTCTCTCTTTCCCTCTCTCTCGCTCTCTCACTCTCTATCGCTTTCTCTAGCTCTCTCCCTCTCGTTCTGTATGTCTATCGTCTTCCTTGATTTCTCTCGCTCTCTCTCACTCTCTCTCGTTTCCCAAATGATCTCTGCTAGCTTGCCTGAAATTTCTTAAAAAATCGCTATTAGAACGTCGGCTAGACAATTTTAACTTAATGACTTTCTCGCGTTTTTCACAACGATCCCGGCAAGTCTGTGTTTATCAGGCGATAGACGCTAGCTAGCTTTCCGCCTTGCTCTTTCCTCAATGTTTTCTGCTAGCATGCCCCATCCTCAAATCCGTTCAAACTTCCAAAAAGGACACCTCAACCTTTCCCCCGCCGAAACCTTCCGATTTTCCAGCCATTTTCGCGCTCTAAAAACCCGCTCAAAAATGTGCGAGGGGGGGCGAAAAGCGCGCGCTCGGGAATTCCGAGGGGGAAATGGGGCCCGAAAAGAGCTGCGAGCTGGGCACCAGGGGCCCTAGAGAAGGCTCTAGGGCCCCTAGCCAAAAAGGGAAGGGAAGGGACACACGCCGGCAGACAATGTCCCGGTTGTGCGGGGGATATGACAAAGTGTTCCGGTTCTCTCTCTTTCTCTCGCCTCTATGCATGTAATCGACCTCGCTCTCTCTCTCTCTCCATCTCTCGCTCTTGTCTCTCTCTACACCTGTTGTCAGCCTCCGTTGCCAACCTCTGGACACGAGACAACCTGGCTGCTGTGCCGTTCCGCTTCTCACTCTTTTCCCGGATACAACTACCCGTTTTTAGGAGTGTTACGGAATTCTGAAAACTAGAGACCAGCTTAGAGCCCAAATTAGAGCCCAAATAGGGCCAGATGGAACCCAGACAAAATCAAAATTGGTTTTTCCTTCCAAAACCCCGAATAAACTTTCTGTTTTTGGTGGAAAATTCACGAAAATAGCTGCTTTCGACAAATTCTTAGAATCTAGGATAACTTTCCTGACTTCCCAACCCCTTTAAAACCACTCCCAGCTCCTTAATGCCCAAAATCAGCAAAATAGCCATTTTTTTTAGCTCTTTGACGGCATGGTCGATTGGTTAAGCCCTCGCCTCCGAGACGGTCCGGGTTCGAACCGGCCCACGGCAAAGCCTTTTACGTTTGGTCTCAAAATCCTTTATAAGCTTTTCAAGGACCTATTAATACCCCCAACTCGATCGAAAAAACCCCACACTTCCTGACTGCCCTCAGAAATCTAAAAGTTGGATCTCCACGGGGCGAAGTGGGCCTCCTCCCCTGGCTGTCGTTTTTGCCTGCTGGGTCCCGTCTGGATTGTAGCTCCGGGGGAACCTTTCCCATTAATTGCCTTTTTCAAAAAAGGAGGCTTTCCTAGGAAGGCTTCTCGCCCTAGCAGTTTTTTACGACTTGTGGTTTTGAATTCACGGTTTTGCGAAATTCTGTGGCGAAATTTGGGTTCACTGGCCCTTTAAAAGTCCTTAAAATCGTTAATTATATGCTACTTACGTAATTTAATGCGTATGAAATCTATATCCGAAAATTCTTAGTTTTCGTCTCGACCGTCCCTTTCAAAGAGCCAAATTTTGCTGTTTTTAGCAACGTTTTTACGTTTTTGCTTTAATATTCAAACCCCATTTTCCAGCGGGCTACTCTGAAGACAGCGACTACACGTCGGACGTCTCATTCCCAATCCATCCAAACGCCGCCCATCCCAATTCGTCGGTCCATCAGTGGGATTCGCATCTCCACCCCCACCGTCAACCCCATCATCGACAGACTGCCCAGCACGATCACGTCGTATGTCACTTTTACTCAAAGAAACACTGCTAGATTGCCCCCAATCACGCTCATAAGCAAAGAAAAAAACAATTCCATCTATGCATGCCCATTTGCCCAATCCCCCTTCAGAAATTGCAGGCCTCGTACGAGGGTGACGAGGACGCGTACAATGAGACGCGGCTCGACGCTGTCTATGGTACGTTTTTTTGACCTCACCGGTCCGTTTACCGAGTGAAAATCATGGTATTTGACTTGCTGGTGCCTTTAAAGGGCTGGGAAAGCTTTAAAAGGCCGTCCGCCAGCCACCCGAACTGTCCCCATTATGGCTTGGCACAGTTTTTTCGACCCTATTTTTATGATGCCATCTGAAAGCGCGTGGCCGAATTAGTACGGTGGCATAGTTTTGAAAGTTTAAAAAAGTTGATTTTTGGGGTTTAAATGGCCGTTAAAGTTGCCGACATGGAAACCCTATCTCGAAAATTACTGGCCCAAAGTTGCAGAAAATTTGTGACAATACCTGATTTTGGATCGAGATCATTTCTCTAATACATTTCGAAACCTGAAAACGGCTGGAACATAGGAATCTCGCGTACTAAAAGCCATTTTTTAAGATTTTCTACTTAATGGGAAAACGGCGGCATCCTGAAAGTAGCATAGAAATTTGCGCCAATTTTTTCTACGTCGAATGATGTGTCTTTTAAGATGCCGCCGTTTTCCCATCATCTAGAAAAGTCGTGATCTCTGGAATCAACAAAAGTGGCCTTAAAAGATCGGGGGCTGCTAATGAGAAATATAAAGGATTGCGGAAAGCATCTAGAGATCAATGCCACCCATTATCAAAAAAGAGCAAATTTAAATTCCTCATCTACGCGAAGTTGAGTACGGAGGGGAATCGAACCCGCGATGGTCCGCCTGGGGGGGCTCTGGGGGACAGAGGCTAGAGGGCGCCGCCACCTCCCAGGCGAACGGCCCGAGTTCAATCCCAGCCCCCTTTTAGAAACCGAATTTCTTTTTGCTCTTTTTTGCAATTGACTTGGCTGCGCTTCTAGAAGCAAGTGGGTGACTCCCCGTTTGAAAATCTGGATATTTTTCTCTTAACCACCAAGAAAATGCCGTTTTTACAGATGATGGGAAAACGGCGGCATCCTAAAAGACACATCATTCGCCGTAGAAAAAATTGGCGCATCTTTCTATGCTACTTTCAAGATGCCGCCGTTTTCCCATTAAGTAGAAAATCTTAAAAAACTGCTTTTAGTACGCGAGATTCCTATGTTCCAGCCGTTTTCAGGTTTCGAAATGTATTAGAGAAATGATCTCGATTCAAAATTAGGTATTGTGACAAATTTTCAGCAATTTTGGTCCGGAAATTTTCGAGATAGGTTTTCCAGGTCGGCAACTTTAGCGGCCCTTTAAACCCCAAAAATCAACTTTTTAAACTTTCAAAACTATATGGCCCGACTAATTCGATTATGCTCTATCCGATGGCGTCCAAAAAAACAGGGTCGAAAAAAACTGTGCCAAGCCTATTTCGGTCCTCCCGCAAACGGCCTTTTAAACAGCCAATGCTAAGCTTTTGCCAAAAGCAAAAAGTTTGCACTGGCAGGGAGTCGAACCCATATCATTCCCCTAGAATCCTAACCAACTACCATTTAGCCATTAGATCAAAATTGTCGAAAATAGGTACAAATTCAATACCCAAACTTTTCAGACACGGTGACCGGTGAGGACTACCTGGGCCACCCGTACGACTACGGAACCGAGGAAGAGGAACATCACCAACATCCCGGATACGCGGTGGACGACGGTGTGGACGGACAACACCCCGAACCTAATTACGCCCCGCACACCGCGGGGCGAAACAACCATCGGACGAATCGGTACGTGTTTTTTCAAGCCGCTCATCCTCAAGAAGTTCAGAGAAGCGTTGTGCAGTTTTCAGAAGGTTACGATAGGAAAACCTGTAAAGTATACTTTTAGGGACGCTGAGGGTCGGTACGACTCGTACCGCAGCGAGGACGAGTCGACGTACAAGGGCGAGGGCACGAGAAGGGGATACGATGAGCATTACGGTAGCTGGCGCGTGTTTTAGGGGGGTCTGGGAAGGCTTCTCACGGACTAAAAATTCAAGGTCCTGTGGTCAATTGGCAGACGACCCAGGTTCAACTTCCAAACAGAACAAAGCTTTTTGCTTTTTAAGCAGCAGCTATTGAAGCCTCAGATCATTTTCACCCAGCTGTGAAAAAGGGCATCTAGCAAGAATTTTTGTGGAAAAATGTAAAATTTAACCATATTGGCTTGTTAGCTGATTGGTAGTGCGCTGGGTTTCCAGAAAAACAGCGCGGGTTCGACACCGCCAGGTGAATTCTTTTTGTTGTTTTTTTAGGATATTCGGGAGATTATACAGGTATGAAAGAAACGAGATTTTAGGCAAGCTAGCAAAGACTTTTAGGACATTTTTCTACTTTTTTTAGTAGAAAGTATAATTTGTTTCTAGACTCCTCAACCTCATACGCCCATCACAACGATCACGACGAGGACCCCTATGGACACACTTCAGAAGTGGAATATCACCGTGAATACCCTAGAAACCTTCGAGAAGCATACCTCGATAGCCCCACTACCCACACACCACAGGTATCGTTACCTTAAAAATTCAAATCCGTCTTCAAGAGCGACTACTCGCGCAGTGTAAGCGCCTCGGGTCGCCCTCCCTCCCACCTACAGTACGACTACGGGGCCTATAACGGGTATACGAGTACGGGGCATACTGTTGACGACCATCTGCCACATCAACAAAACGGATATCGGGAAGAGGAGGAGGAGAGGTGGGTTTTAAAGTATAAACAAGGCTAGTAAGGTGATCCCCTAGCTTATGGCCAAAAAGCAAAAAGTTTTGCCAGGACGGGGGTCGAACCCGGGGTAGTGTGGGTATGAGATGAGGGCTTAACCAATTAGCCATGTTCGGAAGGTCGGTCAGGGCTTGGCCGATTGGTTGAGCTCTCGCTTGATACACGTACGGTCCGGGTTCGACCCCCATCCGCGGCTAAACTTTTTGCCTTTTCTGGTAGAGCTAGCTTTTACCCTTTCTTTAATGCAATAATGAAGGCAAAACCGGAATGTCCCGGAATCGCGGCAAAAATCTGATTTTTGTTCAGATACATCAGCGACGGCGGCAAGGGCTACACAGCCGATTACGACACGTATAACGAGGGTGCCTCGGAGACGATGCATAATGATGAGGGCAGAGGGTGGGAAATTTTTCCGTTTTTAAGCCAGAAAAAATTCAGAAGCGCGACGTGGGCCGACTCGGAGCCGTTGTCATACAATAGCCGGCCGCCTAGAGCCAGTACAAGGTAAAAAATTGCTTTAGAAATCAAAAAAAAGAAGAATTTAAATACGCTAAAAACCGCAAAAAAAATTAAGTACTAACAAATTCCTGTAGAAAATTGCATTACTTAAAAGCCATGAACTCAAAATTCGATCTTTATATGTATTACAAAAGCTAATCAACGGTAGATAAAATCTAAGAAATTTTAAACTTTTAAATGCTGAATTTTACACTGTAGAGCAATTTAAATAACTTAAAACTGGAATATATAGAAAAATATAACGAGAAGCACAAAAGTTATTTTAATTTGCCTAAATAAGCTATAAAATCATTTTTTGTTTTAAAGTACTATTTCCTTACTGAATTTGCCATTATTCCTGCCGTATCCAACAATATATAAAGCCCTATTTTCGCTTCGGGATCCCAGAATTTGGCGTGATTCACCCCTTCTACTCTATATGCAAGTCGTTTCGCGGCTTCGATCTCGACCCATCCATCCAGCCACCTTGCCATCGATCAGTTCCCATACTTTCCTATTGACACCTTTTCACCCCCTCTTTTCGGCCTGTCGAAACTACCTCTAAACACCCTCAAAATGTTCCTGTTAAACCCGAAAAAATTCATTCGGATACGGTATCAATACGGTTATAAAGGTAATTGCCAATTTTTCAGCCGAACATACAACGATCGGTATGATGAGGATGAGTATATGAATGAGGAGGAAGAGGATAGATTGAGGGCTGAGGAAGAGGCCGAGGAAAGGTGGGGGATTTGAAGTTTGTAGTATAAAAGTATATATTTTAAATATAGCTGGATTGACCATAACTTTAATTTAGATGGCGATTGCAAAGAGAAGAAGATGAACGTCGACGTCGAGAGGAAGAGGAGCGGCAGCGAATGCTCGATGATCAGCCCACTTTTTCGGAAGGTAGGGCCAAAAAGCAAAAAGTTTCGCACCCATGGGGTCGAACTCCGACCTTATTTCTAGCAAGCGAAAACTTAACCAAGTGGCCAAGGTTGGAAGCCTCCAAAAATTGTCAGCATTTTAAATTCTTGAAACCCGGGAATTTGAAGTTTTTTTTAAAGGGATTGTCAAGTCAGGAATATGAGCTGGCCGCCTTTAGCTTTTTAATCGAGCAAACTCTGAATGTTTAGACCGGGACTACACAGTTCAAGCCGTCGCCGATCACCCCCCGCCTCTCATCCCAAACCATGCAAATCAACAACAAAACTCTGGTGGTGAACGCAGGAATAGTAATGAACCGTACAATTGGAGGAATGAGGAGAGAAGGTACTGTCGATTTCGAAAATTTTATAATTTTTATTACTTAATTACGTACACTTATCGAAAATTCCTAAATAATTGCTGCTCGTTTATTTCTTTTTTGTGAATAGCGAATTGTGTACAGAAAACCTGAGGAAAACGCCTTGATTTCGTCTTGCTAGGCCCTTTAAAACGTAATTTTGCAATTTTAGATCATCTACCGCGGCCGAGTCGGTTCGCTCCGGATCAGCAGCCCAGGAGCGAGCCATGTAAGTTTAATTTTGTGATCTCTCTCTCGCTCTCTCTCGCTCTCTCTCTCTCGCTCTCTCTCTCGCTCTCCTTCGATCTCTTTCTCTCTCACTCACTCTATTTCTCTCGCTCTCTCTAACCTCTCTCCCCTCAGACTACGGTATATGAACCACATTTCAGGGTGACCATCGTGGAGGAGCCGGCCCTAAAGGAGAAGAGGGAGAAGAAGGAGCTGCACGATCTGTGGCACTGGGCATATCGACAAGTCTGCACGAATCTTGGATATAAGGTTGGTGGCGTTGGGGAAAATCAATCAATCTTCTTAATTTTAATTCAATAATTCTTTAATTATATTTACGACAAGTATTAAATTGCCTAGAGCGTTGCCAAGTGATTTCGATACTTTTAAATGTTTCGAGCTCGAGATCACCAAAAAAATGTTGCGTGTGTCGTGTCGCTGTCGTGCGTCGTCGTGTCGATATTACTCGATCTTTTTCTTGTTATTCCAAAGTGAAACTCCTTGATGTGACCCTCGACCTCCCTAAAAGTAGAACGGGCGCCAGAAGATCCCCCCTAGGGACATGCAGCTCGAAGTCGTCGATCCGTCTTGGCCACGCGGTCCCCCTCTGAGGCCAAGCCCAAAATATCACTTTTTCGGGTTCACTCCGCCGACAAATCACCTAAGGGTATTTTGGTCAGGGACTATAGACCCAACGTCTAGTTATTCACGTTTTTGGGCACTAATTTTGGCCCTTAGCTCAAGGTCCCAGTTTTCGCCTACTACCAAGCCAGCAGACAGAAATGCGGGAGTCAAAGCCCGTTTTAAAGGTCTGTCGAAGCCAATTTTTGCCGTTCTGCCAGCCTGACGTAATTCCAGAAAATTAGCATATTTTATGCACGTTTCGAAACATAGTTTTGCAACCCCTCAAACCCCCTAAAAAGTACGTAAAAAGGAGGGAGAGCGAAAGGACCTGTGGACGCTTCAGTGGCGCTCGAAAAGCGCACACTCAAAAGTACCCATTTTTAACGAATTTACGGGAGAGGGAGAGACCAATAGAGAGTGAGCGGGAGAGAGAGAGCGAGAGAGAGCGAGAGAGGGAGAGAGAGAGAGAGAGAGAGAGAGAGAGAGAGAGACGAAAAAATCGGTGTGGATTTCTGGCCCCCGGACGCTCAACTCGAAGCAAAAATGAATCCAATTTCCCCCAAGGGGGTCTGGCTGATTTTTTCGAAACTTTGTAAACAAGGCCCTCCGGGGTGTAATTAGGATTTTAGGGGAATGTATACTTTATCGTCTAGACTTTTAAGGAAAAATAAGCTAAAAACTTTATCTACCTTGAGAGACGATGAGAGGGAGAGAGCGAGAGGGAGAGAGAGAGAGAGAGAGAGAGAGAGAGAGAGAGGGAGAGAGAGCGAATGACGCGCCAAATTTCTCAGCTTTTTGTGGTGAGCCCGGAAAACCTGGGTGCTCTACCCCATATAATTACTGACAAGCTGAGGTAGGGCTGGCAAAAGTTGGCTGGGTCCCGGTCGGACTTCCTCAACCCGCCAATTTGGACACGAGGGCACTTTTCACAGGGCTGTGGCCAACCCCTGCTGGCTCGTGAGATTGGGCCAATTCCCCTTTGTTTTACAAGCGGGAGCAGTATAACTTTTCGGTCGTTAATTTTCCAAGTTTCCTTCCGGCTAAATGGACTTGTTTCTATTCAAACTCGTTTTTACAGCTGTTTCTCGCAAAAATAGCCCTTTCCTAGCCTTAAACTTACCATTATCTAGCTTACCACCAAAAAGCAAAAAGCTTCACGCCGGTCGGGGATCGAACCCGGGTATTGAGCCTCCCAAGCGAGAGCTTAACCATTTCGCTGCACGGTACTGAGGAGGTTTCTTTTCCGGGCCTTCGCCCGGTATGGCTAAATGGTTAAACTCTCGCCTCATGCGCATACCACCCGGGTTCGACCGCACCTGCAACAAAATTTTTGCTTTTTAAACCCTGTCCAGCCCTTGACTAGCTCTTTCTAATGTCCAGACTCCCATACACCTCCGACCTCGATTCTTCGCCTCAAGGCCCACAGTTTCCGGGCCCTTCTCCCTCTGAACCGGAAATGGGCTTGCTGGCACCCACACCCTCGTCCGTGGCTTTCAAAATATGTTTTCAAGCGGCGGCAAGTGGCTTCACGACTCCTTTAAAGTTCGTAAATATTTATTTTTGGTTAGCTAGGCGGGTGGCGTGATTTGTGGTCCACTCCGTGCTGGGGTTCAAATCCGGCGGCGTCAGCCTGTGGCGGATTATCAGCCTGGATTTGGGAGCGGAATTAGGCCATTTTATCTTGTGCCATTTGTTGGTGCTTTTGTACTATTTTATAACAATTTTTCGTGATATTTGGATTCAGGAAAGCCGCAATTCCGTGAGGCGACTAGAGACGTCCAGCTATAAATTTAGAATCGTTCACGATTTGGCTATTTTGGGGGCAAGAAAAAGCGGGTGAGAGAGGGAGAGAGAGAGAGAGAGAGAGAGAGAGAGAGAGAGATATAGAGAGAGAGCATCAGAGGGATTGCTATTTGAGGAGTGCTGCTAATATCCATAAATTTGGATGCAATTTCTAGATCTCCCGCCCTCTCCCTCACTATCTCTCTCTCTCTCTCTCTCTCTCTCTCTCACTCTCTCAACGCCCAGGCTTGTATTTTAGGTTTGATTGTCTATTTTCACGCTATTATCTTTAGGCGATTAAAAACTATAACAAACATCATTATTCCATTTTCCCGTTTGCGTAAAGAGTATGGGGGCGGAAGTCGGCCGGTTTTTGAGGATTCGCGTCGAGCACAAAGTGCCCCCTAGCCGCCACTTTTTGTCTCCACCCCTAAAAGAAAGTTGTTTCCTCTGCTTCCCCCTAAATGAGCCTCGTTATATTGCTCCTCGAGGGCTAGGCGTCGTTCCGATGAACTACTTTTGGATCTTGGTCTAGGTTATATTTCCTTAGCATCGTTTATCGTCTAGTTTTCGAAATTTAAACAATTTTTAAGCTAAAGCCATAGATTGCGACAGCTGAGCCAAAAGCAAAAATCACCCGGGGGTAAAGGGTCGAACCCTGGTAGTGTGCCTCTGAGGCGAGAGCTTAACCAATAGACCAAGGTGTCGAAAACCCAAAAATGCTGTATCTTACCATGTTCAGCAATTGGAAAGCTGGAAATTCCTTTACAGGGAGAGGGGAAGTCGGGTACCGCTTCGTAATAACCTTAATTTGAGTCCATTGACCATCATTTTGCCTGTTTTTCGTCAATTTTCATGCTGTTCTAGTCTCTTTAAAACATATTTACCCTCCGCGATTTTCAATCTACTCTCTTCCCCCCTGGGTTTCGTAATGAATTCCGAGAGGATTCCGGGAGGATTCGGATGATTTGTTTGAGGTCTTCCGAGGGTTTTCATCAATCTCCACCAACCCCCAGACGAATTCCCCGTTATTCGAAATTTGTTTCCTTGCTCAAAATCCTGAAATTTTGCATTTTATCGGGATTACCCTATGGTTAAATGGTAGTGTATTCAGTTGTCAAGAAAATGGCCCCGGTTCGACTCCCGGTCGGTGCGCAAAATTTTTTGTATCGGCTCGTAGCGTGTAAAATTGATTTTACTCGTTTTTTAGAGCCGCACTAGCAGCGATTTTTAAAGTTTGAAAGTCTTGGGCTGATGGGGCTTTGGCTAATTGGTAGTGGCCTAGGATGCCGAAAAAAACATCCGGGTTCGATCCCCACCTGGTGCTAAACTTTTTGCTTTTTGCGCAAAAGCGCCAGGAGCATGTTTTTGATAATATATTATTTTCATACTTTTTTTGCTTAAAGCCACAGTAAAGCAAAAATTCTTTCTTTTTCCGGGCAGTCTAGCAGAGATTCTTTGGGGTGCTGCCATTTTTTTGGTTAACCAAGAACCTTAAAATATTCTAATTTCTCGGCCGCTCTAGTCAAAAACATCTACGGGATTTTAGGGCGTAGATTTTGGCCGGGGTGTGTGGCGTCCTCCGCCTAGAACCAATCCACTTTGGGTCGATTCGGCGGGCAGCAGCTTGTCCTCCGTTTTCAGGCCTCGTAAATTTATCCACTAGCATTAGCCCGTTGTTTTGTTGGTTTTAAAGGGACACGGAAGCCTCGGATTTCGCGTCATGTTCTTGAAATTAATATTCTGCGGTTCAATGTATCATTTTTACGAGCCTTTTGCTTTTTTGCCCATTTAACCGTTTAAGTCTGTTTTAAAAGCTTTTAGTGGTAGAGTAGGAGGAAGTAGTAGGAAAAGCGCTAAAAATTCAAATTGAGCATCTTAACACTGGCTGGACCCTTGGCCGATTGGTAGTGTGCTTGGCTACCAGGTTGAAAACCCGGGTTCGACCCCCGCTCGGTGGAAAACCTTTTACTTTTTGAGGAGTAACTCGAGAAATTACAGGTTTTTTATCAAATTTGAAGTTAGACTTCCTAGCTTTTCCCCAGGCCAGCCAGCAGAATTTTTCACCATGTATTTTTAGCCGTCGATTTCTTCAAAAGCAAGTAAATGCTCTATTTTCTGGATTTTTTTAAAGTCTGTCTACTTTAAGCGCCAAGATTCATAGATTTCAATCTTTCCGTGCCAACCCTAAAAACCCTAACCTCAGGAGGCTGAAAAACCGCGAAATCTATATCGTCTCCTGCGGGGGGTGAGCGATTTCTTTTTTGAGCCTCGGACACATTTCCATCAATTATTCATGGTTTGTGGATGGGGATGGCAAAACGCATCGTGGGCACGAGAAGAAGAGATAGAAGAGAAGAGACTGACATTCCACCCTAGGCAAGTGCCCCCAGCCACACACCCCAAGCCCCCCAGGCTTCACCCAACCCCGAAAAATTAGATTCACCACACCCCCCCGACCCGGGTCCCCCCGGGATTTCTCGTTTTTTGCAGCTTTTTAGGGTTCTAGAGAACGTTTTCTGAGTATTAATACGCTAAAAGCTGCTAGCTTGCCCCAGTTCGGCCCGAAACCCCGAATTCCAGCTGTCACTGCGCCTTTAAAACGGGTCTTAGCGCTTGATAGCTGGTCCCAGTTCAGAATAGAGGCCTGACTCTAGCTGTCACCGTCCCTTTAAACGCCTTTGCCGATTTCCTCAAGGATCTCTGCTAGCTTGCCTAGACCATAGCATCCATGGCTAATTTTAACTGTCACCGCCCCTTTAAAAGCCCTATGATTCATCTAGTTATCGATTTTCCGGCACTTCTCATTAATTCTGCTTGTTTGCCCTTAGGTGTCATAGTGCCTTTAAAGATCAGCTGTCTGGCGCCGTTTCCCAAATGGTTTCTGCTAGTTTGCCTGTACCATTCGGCTCGTCAAAAATGTGTATTTTTTGGATTCAAATGTTATCTGCTAGATTGCTCTAGCATTGGATTGTGATTGTCATCTTCCCTTTAAAACCCTGCTGATTTAACTTGCTAAATTTTCTCTGCTAGCTTGCCTTTTCACCAAATTTCTCGGTGCTAGCCTGCTTGTTTCCTCAAATTTTCTCTGCTAATCGGCCCGTTCCCCTGGGTTGTAAGTGGGTATGCGTTCTGTTGTGTCGCTACCCATGTCACTCCAGCTAGCTTCAGCCTCACCCTCCCGTGACACAGGGGTTATTTTCCGAGTCACTCCTCTTTACCCTTCCCTTCGTTCTCCTCTCTCTTCTCTTCTCGAATACCTAATGGCCCTCCCCTCTTCTGCTCTACCCATTCAGTTTTCCACTTCTTCTTTTGCTTCTCACTTCTAACCCCCGGGGTGCCATTTCAATTTTTTGGGCCATTTTTTTGGGGCGCTGGGGGACTCAGAAATGACCCCGGGGTTGGCTAGGTGTTCGCCTGGGGTTTTTCGAATTTTTTGACATTTTTGACGGATCTGTCGTTAATTTCGAGAGCTCTTTCCAGCTTCCGAACCCCGTAAAGCGCTAAAAATCGAGTCAGGCAGACTAGCAGAGGCGATTCAGGAATATTATGATTTTCCAAGTCCTGTCTACGATGGAATTTGACTCATGCAAGCTAGCGGAGAGCCTTACAGGATTCCAAAGCTTCATAACCTCTTTAAAAAAAACGAATTCGCGATAGGCAACCTGGCAGAGATCGTTGCGGAATTCTAAATACAAACTTGGCAAGCTAGCAGAGAACCTTAGAGGTTTCCAACTTTAAAGCATCTTTAAAACGATGAATAACTAAGAAGAAGTCGAGTCAGCAGAGATTTTTGTAGAATGCCGGGCTAGCAGAGCCTCTTAGCGAATGAGTCCGAGCCCCCTTTAAAGCGTCATGGAAGTTAGGCAAGCTGGCAAAGTTTTTGGGGGAATCCGGATCGAAGCGAGGCGAGCGAGCAGAGATCTTTGTCGAATGCTTAATTTGAGCACGAGAGGCTAGCAGAGCTTTTTCTTGGAAATCCCTGAATCCGAAAAACCCTGCAAACCTTTCCGCTTTCCCTCGACGCCTTATTCTGCCATTGGCAGGTTGCCAAGCACAAGCAACAAACGTTTAGCCACACTAGCCCGATGGGATAGAAGGGCCGAATTCTCTCAATTCTCTCAATTGGGTCCCATTACCCTTTCCCCCTCACCCCCCCCATTCCGAAACGCTCCTCTAGAATTACCGGGAAAAACCTTTTAGGGGGTGAGGCTCATATTTCGGAAGGGAGGAGAGGGAGAGAGACATCCCTTTAGTCGCCACTGGGCCCCATTTATCTATCAATTTTTCAACATGTCTCTCACTTACTCTCTCACTTACCCTCTCTCTCTCTCTCTCTCTCTCTCTCTCTCTCTCTCTCTCTCCAGTTCATCTCCACCAACGGCTAATGAGTTTTTCACTTTTTAACCACCTTTTTTATCCATTTTAAGACCAAATTCGTCCGCTCGTTGTGGGACCACATTTTTATTTTATTGAAATTTGTATAGTACAGCTTTTAAAGGAACCAGGAAGACTAAATCTATAGCATTTGCCTCGACTTTGGTCCGTCGCTATCCCTTTAACTAGGTCCCCAAGACGCCTGTGAATAACGAGTGTAATGTAATTTATGAATTTCGTTTCGACTTTTGCATATTTTGTATAGAATCCATAGCAATCGAGAAGATTTTGCCTTCAACGGCTCTTTAAAACCGATTTTAACGAACCGAAAATTCACCTAAAATCCATAAACCAAGCTTGATAGTCCCTTTAAAATTTGCATTTTTTCTGACCGCAGGTTCTTTGAGACCCCAAACCCTAGGTTCGGGCAAACTAGCAAAGATTCTTTCGGAATCCCAAAATCTCCAGCCCATGTTAATCAAAAACTCTGCCCCCTTTCGCCAATGGCTACGTAGCATTTTGGGGCAAATAGATTTGTTTTCCCTCGGGGGCCCACCACCCGGAGCGCCGCTTCAAATTTTGCGTGCCTCGCCTCGAAGCAGAAAAATGTGGTCACATTTCTGGATTTTAGCGATCGATTGGCATTTTTGGGCTTGTGCAAATAGCCTCTGCTACCTTGCCCAGACGCCTTTTTTCGGTTTCTATGTTTCGCTGAAAGCTAGTCTTTAAATCGCGATATTTCAAGCCATCCCCAAATTCTCCGTCTGTTTGTTCACCTATATATCCGTCTGTTTGTCTGTCCATTCGACTAACCCCATCCTCCCTTAATTCGATTCCCGAAATGGAGTTGTTGCTCCCCATTCACCCAGTCCACACGCATTCTAATTGCGGCCAACGGACCGCGCCGAATTTCCGCAGCTATCCTCTGTACGTTGCAACAACATCTTGACTTCGCTGCCCCGTTGAAGTTGTCCCTACCTTTGGAATTTCCCTGCCTTTAACGGTCCTTAAAGCAGTTCAAGATAAGGTTCCCTGACTTATCCGCCCCTTTAAAGTGTCGTTGCTTAGACTGTCGGGATTTCTCTGCCTTCAACGGTCCTTTAAAACGGTCCAGGATGAGATTTCTTTATTTTTCGGCCCATTGAAATTATCTATAATGGGACTACTGGGATTTCCCTGCCTTCAGCGGTCCTTTAAAATTGTCTACATTCAAATTGCGTAGTTCGTGGCTTACACCAAAATCGGGCTTTTGACCTGTCGGTATTTTAGCTGTCCGGAGCATGGCTTTCGGCATTTGACTGTCGGCATTTTGGATGTAGGAATCTTAGCTGTCGGGATTCTGCTTTTCGCCTTCAATCGTTCTTGAAAATTCTCGATTTGAGCTCAAAGCTCTCTTAAGATGGTCGTTCCGATGATTACTGTAATTTAATCCGATACTGTGTCCTCTTGTTCTTTATTTCTCTCTCACCCTCTCATAATCGCTCGTGCTCTCTAGCCGTCTCTCCCGTCTCCCATTTCAATATTGGAATGAGCGTTGGATGAGTCGAGACGACCGGGCGAGGGCTCTCCTCGCCTTCGGCAAATCCTTCAAAAAGGTTCGCTCCCCCCCCCCGTTAGTGCATCAATACCTCCGTTCTAAAGGTGCAGCGGTCTCGATCAGTGGCACAGAGAAGAAGACGAAGAAGGAAGGAACGAGGAAAGGATAAGCGGAAGAGGACAAGATCTGAACCGATAGCCCTTCCCTCTTGTCGACAGAGACAGAGGGATGAGGGTGGAGGGGGAAGACAGAGGAGTCTGTCGCTCAGGTAAATACTAAAAATTGACCCCGGGATGCAGTACCAAAAAACTTTAAAGGCCGATAACTCCCCCTAGCAACATCGGATTTTTACGATTTTTAGTGGGTTGGAAACCCTTGAAAAACTCGTATTAAACATATTACTTTGGAGCCAAGTTTGTAATCAAAGCGATAAAACTTTTGGGTCCTGTTCCCCCGCCCCGAAACCACACCCTATCCACCGTACGTACCCCTGCCATTAATGCAGGGAGGAAGATCGACCGAAGCGTCACCCCGGCGAACGTATCCGCCCCGTCCCTCCGCCAGTAATTGACCATCCGCCAAGACTCGCAAATGGCACTCCAAATGGGACCCAAAGCGAACACTCAAAGGTGTCCCTTTCTACCGTATTCGCACAGAGGAGGGAACAGGCACGTCTACTCCTCGGATATGCCATTAATGGACAGGTAGCGGCGACGTGTTCGTGTCGTTTGGTGTGTATCGTACTGTTTCGTACTGTATGCCCTTCGGGTTAAGGTGATCTCGAGCTCAAAAAAAGATATCAGACTTGTTTAATACTATAATATAAATTTAATGATAAGCATTTAAAGCAAAAATTGGTTATGACATTTTAAATAGTGGTATATAGGAAACTTCAGAGGTATTTAATCTTTTGAGATGCCGAATATATGGCAGGTATTAATTTTTTATATCACTGATATATTTATTTTTTATAATATTAATTTTATAATTTAAAATTATACAGGAAAAATACGTAAATTTCAAATATATAAAGGCAAAAATAAGCGTAAAACAAATACAAAAGCAAATCTCGGTAATTTCAGACATCAATCCTGGACACGGAGACCGGGACGGCGGCCAATGCCTTCTACCGTAGCATCGATGCGATGCCGAATATGAATGTAGCCCGAATGAAGACGACCGTACCCCTCGTCTCCGAGCTGGTACGCCACATTACACCTTACAGTAGTACTCACTGTAGTACGAAACTATACACTAAAATTGCGCTATACTACAGTACACTCCTCAACTCTTTGCGCGCCCTCTCTCTTTGCCTATTTTACAGCCAGCAACCACTCCTACCTCTACGCATCCTTGGCGCTGTTTTTAGGACTGAAACGGAGATTTAAAAAAATAAAAATTTTTGGACGCCTACCGTATTTTTGGGAATTTTCGGAGCTTTTGCATTATCCGGGGGATTTCTTCGGTATATTCATTTCTTCTAATATAAATATATTTTCTACGCATGAAAAATTTACCAATTTTTTTGAAAATACCAAAAATGTCGATTTTCGACGAAATCGCATTTTTAAAAGTTAAACTTTTTTATAAGGTTTTTCCACTTAAAATCTAGTTAAATTTTACAAAAATCAATATTGCGGGACTTGCTATTAAATTATTAGGCATTTTTTAGCTTTTTTACCTATCACCCCCCGATAATGTAAAAGCCCGCAAGCACGCAACAAAGCGGTTTTTCGATATTTACAGAAAAAAATTGAAGAAAAGGAATACAACATCTCAAATATGACCATATTTCTCAAACTTTTTTGAGGTTTAATTTATGAAAATAGCCTAATTACGATATACTCTGAATTTGTCGTCATAAAAATTACGAGATTACCAAAAATACGGTAGGTGCGGTACTTTAAACCCGAAATATCACCTCTCACTACGGTATTATCACTTGAAAACTACACTACACTACACTACACGCTACACCCAATTCTTCTGTACACACAGCCAAATTCCTCTTGATTTTGGAGTTTATTTATCGAACAATTTATTTATTTATTTGTTCTTGGCACACGTGTGCGTGTTTTCAGGTGCTAAAGGTAAGAGAGAACCTTCTCCCCTCTTCTCCTCGCCTTCCGAGGACTACGGTATCTGTAGTGCACCCTAGCCGGCCACCCTCACCCACCATTTCAATCCGGAATGCTGCCGGGGGCCCGGTTTTCCCGCTTCTACCTTTTTTTCGGCTTCTACTAATGCTAATATGAGCGGGGTTTTTGACAGCGATTTTTGGGGTGGCTTACTGTAGGTTATTTGGCAATTTTTCTTCGGTTTTAAAAATTCGAAAATACGCAGAATTCATTTTTTTTAATTTTTAATGGATACACTGAATTGCTCGAGCCTGTAAACTTTTTAGCATTTTTTTACCGTTGAAAAGGTCCGGAAAGTCTCGGAAAATTCAATTTACTGATTTTTAGGTAATGTAGCGTTGCGGGGGCACTAAAAACCAGACATGGCAATTCCGATCGGCCGAGCCGCGCGGCCCGGCCGGCGGCCTGATTTCCATAAAAAACGCGGCCCCCTACGAGCCGCCGTAATTAGTTACTTCCGGAAACGCGGCTTCACGGCCGAGCCGCATTTTCATTGCGGCTCGGCCGGGCCGCCGCGGCCAAGCCGCAAACCGGAAGTGGCTCATTTACAGGGTGTATCAAAAAAAAGTGCCCAAGTTTGTCCCCAATTATCTCGAGAAGGAAAGATATTTCACCGTGCGTTACCATGCCAGAATGCTTAAATATGTCAGGAATAGGGAAATAACTCAACTTGATTTTTTCGATTTTTGGCGACGTATCAATACAAATGACACCCGAAAACTGTGCGTTCGGGGAAACTTCACTTGCATTTTTTTCAGTTTCCTGTGGTGGCTGGCTTCTAATTTTTACAATGTAGAATAATCTAAGCAACAGATATGCACCTAAAAAAATTTAGATTTTTTGAGGGTCTGGTTCAAAAGTTATGCACCGCTGAAATTTTGTATGTAGAAATTTCGTGAATTTCGTGTATTACAAAAACCTGTGGTGGAAATGTCAAGATAAGTGGTTTTAGAAGATCTACGGGCTCGACACAATCGCATAAAAATATTTTAAAACTTTTTAAGATCTATGAATTTTTGAGTTTTTCGACGACCCCCTGGTCATGGATTTTTTTGGGGTCACGGCAACGAACTTCAGAAAAATATTTCTAAAGTTGCAGATGGAACTCGGCTATTTCTTTTTTTGGTTATGTAGGACTGAGGTTTATCTATCACCAACAAAAATTTGAGCTACCGTACCCCCTAGGAAGGGCGCCTTTTAAGGCCCCCAAAACGGTTGGTTCGTGCTATTTTGCAAACCTTACTTCCTTTCTATAAAATTGAATTGTGCCGCCAAAATTCTCGCCACATTTTTGTTTGACACTATCTGGTTGGCGCCTTCAAATAGTATATTTACGAATTTATTCAGCCATACGCTATCTCGAAAGAAATTCATGAAAAGCCCAAATATACCCGAATTCGAGGCTATGTAAAAAATGCTCGATCGCTAGTAGCCGTGAAATTTTTAGCATAAACCAAGCTTGGGTATTCAATTAAAAACCATGCAAAGAAAAAACTTTTCTATGGCAAACGATTTTAGAAGAGCGCCTCAAAGTCGATTTTTCAAAAACGTTATTTTCGGGTTTTAAATCAAGATTAACCATTAACTTCAGCCAGATCATTCCAGAACTCTGTCCTCATACACAATTCGATGCGTGCTTTAATTGTATCCACCAAACCTCGGTGCCTTTTTCATTTTCAAAAATTCGATTTTCGAGCCAGGGCGTTGGGTCCAAAATCGGGGCCCGAGGGGGGTTTTCCACTTTCCCTCATAACTTTGTCATTTGCCACAGGAATCAAATAATTTTTTGTAGGTGCTCTTACAATCGCCCAGTGAACAGTCTAAAGTCGAAAAATTGGCACTTTATGGAATTTTGTCTTGGCATGCTAAAACGCGCTCCAGGCGGGTTACTGTAGAAAACAGAAAATCGCCGTTTTCTCGCTCTTTTCACCATAGAAACGTTTCGATCTTTCGGGAAAACAAATAATAGTAGTTTTTGGTCCGATGCATCAAAATATTTAGTAATTTCCGTGGCTAAATTCGAAAATAGGTTTTTTGCATATTTTGGGAAGGTGTATGGCTAGAACTTCGCGATATTTAGCCCATAGGTGACCCTTACTAGTGTTTACCAATGATGAAATTTTCAGCGAAATCGCAGCTTACAATAAAAAGAAAAACGCGGAAAACGAAAACTACAGTATCCCTCTGGGGCACGTTTTAGCACGCAATATTAAAATACCATAGAATCAGGTAAAATTTGGTGTTGCGCTAAAGATTATCATTCGGAGACACCATTTGCAAAAGATCAGCCATGGGCAGCGTATTTGAAGCGAGCTGCGAATTAAAAAGTAAAAATAGGTAAAACAGTGAAATTTGTTTTTCTTGTTAAAAAAGAAGTAGAGCTTGAAAAATTATAAGACTTGGCCATTAGCTTTCTACAAATGCCGACGATTTTTGGGCCAAAAATCAGAATTTTCCCACCACCCATTCAAGAACGCACAATTTTCGGTCGTAACCACCGTCAATAGTACAGTTGCGTACTCAAAAATCGAAAAAATCAAGTTGAGTTATTTCCCTATTCCTGACATATTTAAGCATTCTGGCATGGTAACGCACGGTGAAATATCTTTCCTTCTCGAGATAATTGGGGACAAACTTGGGCACTTTTTTTGATACACCCTGTACATACCATAAATCCGTGAATTTCATGCGATGGAATGGTAATGAGAAAATTAAGGTTGTCGAATATATATTTTCCTCGTTAGCACGCTAAAAACCCATTACATCTCTGATTTGCGTACCGGAAGTACTCAAAACTCATTTGGATGCGGCCTTAAAAGCCGCGCGGCTCGGCCGCCGTGCGGCCTCAAAACAGAAAAACGGCCGCGGCCGCACCGGAAGTGCGGCCAAGCCGCGCGGCCCGGCCGCATTCTAATTTTTGCGGCCGAAAAAGCCGCGCGGCCCGGCCGATTGCCATGTCTGCTAAAAACAACAAAATTAAATTTTAAAAAAATTTCGTTAACCGACTGTAGCCATTGTTGATACTTTAGTCTTACATGGCCCTTTAAAAAGCAAAAAAATCGCTGTCAAAAACATCCACTTTCGCTAGATTTTCTTCATGTTTTTATCATTAGCGTAGCGCATCGTGTTCCCTGAATTTTTTGGGCGAATTTTTGGCTCGATTCCGGGCGGATTCTCACCGGAATTCTGCCGGAATTCGACCGGGTTCTAGCCGATTTCGACGGTATTTGGACCAGATTCCGATCGGTTTCGCTAGCCGAACTTTAACCGGAATAAACCGGATTCTAGCCGATTTCGACGGTTTTTGGGCCAGATTCCGATTGGATTCGCTAGCCAAATTTTAACCAGATTAAACCGGATTCGGGCCGGTCTACAAACGGATCCGATCCGTTAAATTCTTAGTTCCAAAAATCGATAAATTATCAAATTGAATGCCTGCGCATGTGCCTCGTCTCGCCTCTCAATCCACCAGCTGCCTAAACCGCACCATTTCTACCGTATCTCGCATTCACCTCGTAGCGCCTGTTTCCGCTTTTTGGCAACAATTTTCCCTTGGTTTTTCTCTTTTTTTTGGGACTATGGTGTCTAACCCTCCGCGATTTGTACGTACGGGCTGCGCTGTGCGCTTAACAACGGGTAACCCGGCTGCTGCTGGCCGGAAGGGTACGGTATTTTGGGGCGGATATTTGAGGTTTGAAGGGTGTAAAGGGACTGATAAGGCATGGATTTCGATGGATTTGGCCGTTGCAGGTGAGGCAACTCTCTAAGTATTCCTTGCCGAATCGATTACGACGTTTTAATAGCGCACAAATGAGGCGCGCGCTGCGTATCGCGGTGCAGCAAATTCGTACAGATGCCATAGCCATCCCTTACCCTACGTACGTGCAACATATCGATTTTTAGGCGCCGTAATCGATTACGCAATGAAAACACAGCCAGGCACGTCGAGTGTCGCGGTTCCGTCAAAAGCCTTAGTTAATCCCTGGCTAAATCCATACACACGCCTTGCATGTCCCTTGAAAAACTCTCGGAAACCACTTTTTTGAGTTGTTAAAGGGTTGCTAAACTTAAGTTATGCTTTACAAATTAAAAATACCGTACCCTGCAGGGATTGCCCCCCATTAGTCATAAAACCATTAGTCATAAACCCATTAGTCATAAAACCATTAGTCATAAATTCCATTAGTCATAAACCCATTAGTCATAAATTTCATTAGTCATAAATCCATTAGTCATAAATTCCATTAGTCATAAACCCATTAGTCATAAATTTCATTAGTCATAAATCCATTAGTCATAAATTCCATTAGTCATAAACTCATTAGTCATAAATTCAATAGTCATAAATTCCATTAGTCATAAACTCGTCAGTCATAAATTCCAATGGTCATAAATGTTATGAACTGATTGCTTGGAAATGTTATTCACTGACATAATCCCGTTAACAAATCCAAAATTAATAGGTTTAATGATATCCGATCACGCGCAACCAAGAAGTTTGATTCGAGAACACGACAAGGACCAACACATACACCTCAAAACTTCAAACCTCAAGCCTCGAAACTCAAAACTCAAAACTCAACACTCAAACCTCAAACAAAATCTACGATTAATCAAATTTATGACTATTGAATTTATGACTAATGGAATTTATGACTAATGGGTTTATGACTAATGGAATTTATGACTAATGGATTTATGACTACTGGAATTTATGACTAATGGGATTATGACTAATGGAATTTATGACTAATGGATTTATGACTAATGGATTTATGACTAATGGAATTTATGACTAATGTGTTTATGACTAATGGGTTTATGACTAATGGTTTTATGACTAATGGATTTCGCCCCCCTGCAGGCGCTTGTGCTTGGAATGACACGAGGCGTCAATTGGCAAGTTACGGAGTGGAATTTAGACGATGCAAACGAAGAGGGCACAGGCCGGGTTGGCGAGTGCGGCAAGGACGACGTTTGGAAATGACGAATTGGTAAGGATTGAAGGGGGGTAGTGGAGCGGGCAGGCTAGCAGGGATTTTTCGGGAAGTTTGGGGCTTTCCCAAAGGGCCTCAGCTAGCCTGCCCACAAAATTTGAGAATCAACAAAAATTGAGAAAAGGTGAAAACTAGCAGAGCTTCCTTGAGAAATCTAAGTAGATGTTTGGGAAGGCTTCTTACGTTTTCCCCCCAGAGATATCTGCTTGTCGGCCCTTCGTTTTTTGCAAAAAAAGCTATTGCTTGCTTTCGGACAGCAAGGGTCGGCTAGCAGGGATCCTTTGGGAACTTCAGGCAAACTAGCAGAGATTCTTTAGGAACTTGTTGGAAGTTTTGGAAAATGACGGCAAGGAGTTCAATTATTGAGTCCAGCGAGCCATTATCGATTTTTTAAACTAGACAAATTTTTCATATTTATTTTTGCAGAAAGCGCTCGTCTACCGTAAGACGGTGCAGGCGGTCATCTACCCGATCTCGTGCACAACCCCCCCACAACTTCCAGACCACCAATTTCCAGACACCCACGTGGTGCTATGAATGCGAGGGACTGCTGTGGGGATTGGCACGACAAGGTATCACATATTATAATATCCCTCAACATTTCTCAAAAATGGCATTTCTAATTTTAAGCCAATCTAGCCAAAAATCGTGAACTTTCGCGATAATTTGATTTTTCTTTGAACTTGGGGCTAACTAGCAAAGACCATTGAGGAATTTTCGCGCTTCTAGGAGTTTTTACGCGCTCAAAAACGAGTACCTTTAACGGTCCTTTGAAGGGACCGGAAAGGCAATGCTATAGATTCCTGAGGGCTGCCTTGTCCGTCCCTTTAGAAGGATGACTAGCAGAGATTCTTGGCCGAGGGTAGCTAGCCGAGATTCTTTCGAGAAGCCGCAAAAATCAGCCTTCAACCTGCCCTTAAAATCAACCCAATATCCCCCAAACTGATGGTTCCAAATTGCAGCTGGTAAGTGGTGAATTGGTGAAGAGCCCGGAAAAACGGTGATGAGTACGCGGTAATCCCTGTTGACGGCTTGCCTTACTTCCTGGTAGACGCTCTCTTTTTCTGTATTCTCTCTCAATCTCTCACTCTCTCTCGCTCTTCTCATGCTCTCGCTCTCTCATTCTCTCGCTCTCTCTCTCTCTTGCAAGAATGTACCGTAACCCCCCTACCGTATCTGGAATGTTCCCCCGGGTTTTTAGGCTCCCCCGATTTTGCGTCATCGTTGTCCCTCGGCATTTTGGCATGCAAAAATTGAAAATCCTGGAAAATTTGGCGAAAAATGTTTCTCGCTTTTAATGGCTGTTGCTCACTCTCTCATGCTCTCTCACTCCCTCTTGCTCATCCTCTCACGCTCTCTCTCATCTTTTTTCCCTCACTCTCCCACTCTCTCTCGCTCTCTCTCTCTCATTCGAACGACATATTCTCGATTCCACTCCTCTTAACACTAACCATTTCCACCTTCAATTAATGCTTTTAGAGCCCTTAACAATTTCCGCATTTTTTGAGAGTTAGCCATATCTTTTCCCCTTGGCTTTTCTGGTACTACTAACAAGTCATCATTTCGCAAAATTGTTCCTCGTGTTTTTCGATGTATCCCCTCTGTATTAACACAATATCTCCGGGCGGTTTAAAGGGATTGTGAAGGCAAATAATCGGTTACACGGTAAATACAGGATGATTAATTAGACCGTTAAATTCTGGTTGAAAGTGCTATTCTAGCGGCTAATCAATTACGTTACAAAAATTCTTACCAGCTAGTTACGTTACAAAATTCTGCGGTAACTGATTCTATCAAATTCTAATCAAAAAAACTAGTTCCGTTATAAAATTCTGGACATCCGGTCACGCTAGGGAACTCTAGGTTTTTCGTCAATTATAGATATTTCTAGGTACTGGTCAATAGCGAGGGTGCTTCGGACTCCAACTCCCCCGCTAATGCACCAGAATCAGAAAATCCTGGAGATCACGAAAATGAACCAATTACGCTATCAAAAAAATCTTAATACCACAGCGTTGAGCCTTCCAAGTCCCTTTAAACCCTCGAAACTCTGCATAACCGGGACCCCTTACGTGTCCCCAATTCATCGGCTTTTCCCCCCGCTTGCCGATTTGCCTTGTGGTTTTTTTCTTCTGATGGCCGCATCGTCAATATCCTCTTTTGCAACAACTACCGTACCCCTTCCCCCCCCCGATATTTCCCTGTTTTTGGATTGATACCGTAGACTGCCGCCACGCAGCCGCGCCGCGCGGGCCTCATCTCCTATATATTTTTTTCGGTTTGCCGAGCATGAGCGCCCGGTCCTCTAGACAACGGCAGCTATAGAAATACCTCAAAAATGCTAATTTCTACTTCTGAAAAAAATGAATTTGCAGGTCTCCGATGTACGGAATGTGGGGTGAAGGTGCACGAGAAATGTCGAGAGTTGTTGTCGGCCGATTGTCTGCAGCGTGAGTTCATTTTTGGTACTGGACTCTTAGCGGGGGAGAGGATCGAAATTTTTCCGGCAATTCTAGAAATGCTGAGTAACGTAATAAACGGTAATTATCTTAATAGTGTTCTTAGTAAAATTTTAGTCATATTCCACGTGTAAAACTATCAAAAAAAAACTTTAAAATCTTCAAATTTTGTTTTCGGCCATTTTTTGTCAAAAAAACCAATATTTTTCTGTTTTTAATCAAGTTTTGTAAGATTTTTGGATTTAGAAATCGTCATTAAAGAGTTAGAATCTCTTACGTTATTTATAATATTAGAAAAAGACCCTAGAAAAGTTGTCTCTCACTTTCTCCCTTTCCCGCTCCTTTTCTTCACATTTCAAAGGACTGCAAAAGCCACACTATGGACTATGGATTAATTACGATTAATATATCCCAGCCTACTAGCAGTGATCTTTGTGGAAAATATCCAAAAATTTTAGGAGCCGCCGAAAAATCCTCAAAACACGGTGAAGGGGACCGGACGCAGAGTCTGATAGCCGGTATCAAGGATCGCATGAAAATCCAGGAGCGAAATCGACCCGAACTTTTCGAGACGATCAGGTGAGAGAGAGAGCGAGAGAGAGCGAGAGAGACGCCCTAGTTCTAAACCGCGTCGAATTCAGAATCGTATTCGGCGTCGACGAGCGCACCAACCAGGAAACGATGAAGCAAGTGAAAGCCGCCGTTCTGGAGGGGAGCAGCAAGTGGAGCGCCAAGATTACTTTAACAGGTACAAAGCTGCCGTAGCGGCGTAATCCATTCGAAAACACAATTTTTTAGTAATCTGCGCCCAGGGGCTGATCGCCAAGGACAAGACCGGCAAGAGTGACCCGTATGTGACGGCACAGGTCGGTAAAAAAATTTATAGTCAATTTCGTAAATTCTTGGGCGGTCTAACGCGCCTAAAACTGTGAATTTGGTATTGTAATGAAGTGACAGGGAACGAATGTCATTTGGAGCGGCGCGTAGTCAATTCTAAGCTACGTTAGGGTCCAGACAGACACTTAATTAAACCGAAGCTATCATGAAAAAAAACGATAAAATTCATTAAAATGAGCAAGGGTGACGAACATTTTGCCTAGACTACGCGTAGTTCCTTTGCACATCCGTACATTAAGCGCTGGCAGCAAAAACGCTTTTTAGCTCGGTTTTTGGCAGGTTCAACCTCTTTAAACCCATCCTTTCAGGTCGGAAAAGTACGCCGAAGAACCCGAACGATCCACCAAGAACTCAACCCCGTTTGGAGCGAGAAATTTTTCTTTGAATGCCACAACTCGACGGATCGCATCAAAATCCGCGTCTGGGATGAGGACAATGATTTGAAGAGCAAGTTGAGACAGGTATACAAGATATCGATTATGAAACAGTAATACTTATTGTAGAAATTGACGCGGGAAAGCGACGACTTTCTGGGGCAGACGGTCATCGAGGTGCGAACACTATCCGGAGAGATGGACGTCTGGTACAATTTGGGTCAGTGTTTAAGTGATCAAACGAGATAAAAAAATAGTCTAAAAACTGACATTGTTCGGGTATGTTATGGCGTGAGTATCTAACTAATTATTGTTAATTTCAGAAAAGCGCACGGACAAATCGGCCGTTTCCGGAGCGATCCGGTTGCACATCTCGGTGGAGATCAAGGGAGAGGAGAAATTGGCGCCCTACCACGTCCAATACACCTGTCTTCACGAACATTTGTTTTCGGTGAGTTCTAATTCTTAGTTAGGCCGTTTTTTAATTAACCATAACTCATTTAATCAAATTTTAGAACCACTGTACCGACAACGACGAGGTCCGATTGCCCGATGCAAAAGGGGAAGACGCCTGGAAGGTTTTTGGCCTTTAAAAGTAACAAAAACCTTTTAAACTTTCAGATCTTCTTCGACGAGACGAGCCAGGAGATCATCGACGAGTTCGCGATGCGATACGGCATTGAGGGAATTTATCAGGTATTTTTAAAGGGATGCCGACGGCATAGGCATTCTGTTACGCGCTGGAAAGAAAATGTCTCTGCGCCACTCCCCGGCGCGCGCTCTCTGCCCTGTTGGCTACTTGCCAATTTGTTGATGGGGGGGGATCGACACATGCCGTCGGCAGCCCTTTAAGGGGGGTTTCCAACACTTTTTTGCAGGCGATGACCCACTTTGCGTGTCTGTGCACAAAATACATGTGTGGATCGGTGCCGGCCGTACTTTCGACGTTGCTCGCCAATATTAATGCCTTTTACGCGCACACAACGGCCCAATCGGCCGTGTCGGCATCGGATCGGTTCTCGGCGACGAATTTTGGGAAGGTGAGCTTTTCAACGTCGGATGATCGGCTTTCCCTTATGTTTTAATGCGAAAACAAGCTACATCTGATTTCATTAAACGTCTGGTTAAATATCAGCTTGTATTTAATTAAATCGTCCGTCAAAATAGTTATTTTAGGAGCGTTTCGTTCGACTTCTCGACCAGCTGCACAACTCGCTGCGCATCGATTTGTCAATGTATAGGGTGAGTGTTTAAAAACACCAAAAATATGGACTCTTAACCGTGTCAAGAGAGACAGAGAGAGAGAGACAGAGAGAGAGAGAGAGAGAGAGCAGAGTTAGAACATTTTTCGAGCTTCTGCCCTTTTTCCCCTGCAAGACTTGAGTTTTCGCGGGTTGCCCCTAGATAGAACAAGGCCCGCAATCAGCCCGGCCTGACTGGCCCTGCCCCCTAAAACGCGCTCCAAAATAGCCACATCATTCGCATTTAGTGTGTTTTAACGCGGCTTGTTTGCGTAGCATTACTTATACTTCTAGGTACTGTTTTTATATTTTCTAAAGGCTTCCATATGTATTTATGTAGTGCTTTTGCATTATCGGGGGGATAACTACTTCGCCGCCGCCCCCCGATAATGCAAAAGAACCAACAATTCAGTAATTCGTAAGTAAACGGTGCGTCTGTCTCTCTCTTTCTCTGTCTCGCTATGGGTTTCTCTCTCTCTGCCTCCACCAGACCTATAAGATTAAATCCTGTGCCCCGAAAATCCCGGTTTGACGCAAATCTACAAATCTGCCCCTCTTTGCCCCGCCAATAACCCCCGATTTTTTCGGGCCCCCACCACCCGAAAAATGGGCCTACAATCCTGATCCGGCAGGCCCCGGCTTTGGCCGTGTTTACCACAGGGCCAAAGCCGCCCCGGGTGAAAAGTCGTATTTCGGCCCGGCAGATTATCCCCCCGAAAGCCGCCCCCCTTTTTTTGTCTTTCTATAACCCGCCCTTGAGACTCGACAAATCCCATCGATTCCCCTACTGGATTCAGCTCTTCTTTCACCATACAGCTGCTCTTACAGTATCCCTAGGGGAAACGCGTAGAACTTATTTTTGGAGCTTTTGTATTATGGGGGGATTTCGAATCATTTAGGGGAAACCTTTTACCGTAACTTGAAGCTATTTCTAGAAAACTATCCAAAAACTAGGAAATTTGTAAAATTTGGTTCTTTTGCAATATCGGGGGGGAGGAACCCACCTTTTGTATAAGCCCAGAAGTGCCTAATAATGTAATAGTAAGTATTTCAAGTGTTTCTAATAAAATTTGACCATATTTTCAGTGATAAACTATCTACAAACTTTTTAAAAAACTAGATTTTTGTTCGAAAACGGCCATTTTTGTTTAAAACCAACATTTTTTGTTTTTTGTCTAAAAATTTTCACTGTTTTTACGTTTAGGAAAGTAAAAACTGTTTAAAAACTCTTTCTCGATTTATATTAGCAAAATTGGTTTTTTATGAAAAATTGCCCTCCCCCGATAACGCGAAAGCACCTCTAAATCCAAAACTAGTTAAAAATGCCTTCAAAAGCCCCCGATTTTCACGGCGCACATGTGTTTGACGTCAATTCCCCCAATCCGGCGTGGATTTGCCGAAATGGCGCGTGAAATAATGTGCACCCCGCGCTGGTTTTAGTCAGCAGATCATCTGGGGAGCGCGTTTTAGAGAGTTTGTAATGTAATGTCTGATTTATCAGCAATACCTCGGTGGATGTCTATAAATCTGCCATTTTCAGAGTAATTTCCCCGCCTCATCCTCGCAGAAGCTCCAGGATCTGCGGAGCACCGTCGACCTGCTTACCTCGATCACCTTCTTTCGCATGAAAGTAAGTCAAATTTGTCGGTTATACTTTGCTAAGACTCATACACATAGTACTATTTTTTTTAGGCAGAAACAAAATTTTAAATTTTTGGTATTGTTAAAAATGTGAAAATTCTACATAAAAATGCGAAATTTTGCAAAAACATGTCATCTAAGAATGGTACTTTTGCATTATCGGGGGGGGGGATTTAAAGTAATGATTATTATTTTAAGAGTTTTTGAAAAATTTAACGAAATGTCAAGCGGAAAACTATGAAAAAACTTGGAAAATAATTAAATGTTGGTCGAAAGTCCCATTTTTGTCGAAAAAGAATATTGTTCGATTTATCATTGATCATATGCCATTAAATGTTTAATATGTTTTTAGTAAAAATTGACTAGTTTCAAGTTAAAATATCTGAAAAACGTTTAAAAATTGAAATTTTGGTCGAAAAGGGCATTTTTAGTCGGAAACTCCATATTTTTCGTTTTTTAATAAAATTTGTACAGTTTTTACGCTGAAATAGTGAAAAAGCTTGGCCCCCCCCCCCCCGATAATGCGAAAGCACCGAATTTTTTATATGATATGAGTTTCTATAATAATTTTTTAATGGCGAATTTGAGGTGCTCGAGCTGTCCTCACCACCGCGAGCCTCGAACGTAGTGAAGGAATGCGCGAAGGCGTGTATGCAGGCCACATATCAAATGCTATTCGAGAGATGCTGCGAGACGGGATGTCCGTCTGTCGACTCTGTCCAATTTTGGTACAATTTCATCGATGAGTTGATGCGGACCATCGAGGAGGACCAGCAGGATTACACGCCCGCCCTCAATCAATTCCCGCAGGTATGCAAATTGTGAAAAACTCGAGGTGTTCGACTTTTGGTACTGTTCTGTTACCGGGGGGGGGGGGACTAATTTAAATTTTTCCGTTTGCTAATAAAATAAATAGTGTTTTTCACCTGGTGCAATTTGCTGTGTGTTTACAGTTTTATTTTTAAATTAATTGAAAGTTATGATAATTTTTCAGGGCTGTTAAGATGTAATTAATAATGTATAAAACGGAGTAATCCTGTTAATAAAATATACTGTATTTTCATAGTGTTTTTAATATATTTGGTGGCTAGAAAATTGCAAAAAAAGTCCTACCTTTAACATTTGAAAATTTTGACATTTGCAGCTATTTTTTATGCTTTTTACCTAACAGCAAAATTTTATTGAAATTTCTATGATTTGGTTGAGCTTTTTCAATCTAAAAACTGTTTAAAATGCTCGAAAATGGTCTAAATTATGTTATCAGGCCGTAAAGGATTACTTGCAAAAATTTATTTTCTCTCTAAAATCCGGTTGGAAAAACAGTCATTGTCGAGATTTTTCCGTATTAAAATACCTGCCATTTCCAGGAATTAAACGTGGGCCAATTATCAGCGGCGACCCTGTGGTACTCGTACAAAATGGACCTCCAAATAGCGCTTGAAGGTGAGGGAGGAAATTACGGAAAAACATAACCACCCGGAAATTTGCAGAACATGCCGAAAAGAAACGATGCCAGACACCCGACTATATGAATCTCTACTTCAAAGTCAAAGGCTTCTACTTCAAATATATCGCCGAGCTGCCGCAGTACAAACAGTCCATTCCCGAGTTCCCCGCGTGAGTTATTAAATTGATATATCCTAAAAAAGGTGCTGTTCCATTATCGGGGGGTTGGCAAAGTTCATAAATGCCTGATAATGTAAAATTAAGTATTTTAATAGGATTTTTGGTGAAACATAGCTAAATTCCCGTATAAAATCCGTATAAAAACTTATATATTCTTGAACTTTTGATTGAAAATTGGTCATTTTTGGTAGAAAAGTTTATATTTTTGGATTTTTAATAAGATTTTGCAAGGCTTTTACGCTCAAGAATAGTAAAAAACTTTTAGAAACACTTCCTCTATTCCCCTCATTTATCTCCCCCCCCCCGCTAATACAAAAGCACCGAAAAGTTAGAAAACCTATAAAAAGCGATGCGTAGCTGCACTATGCATGACTCCACTGGACGCTGTAATTTCACGAGCACTTGGCTTATTCATACTTTGACGGACGGGGCAGGCTAGCAGAGTTTCTTTAGGAAATAAGAAAAATTTTGCGTAGCAAGAAAATAATAAACCGGCAGTGCGAGCAGAGTTTCTTTAGGAATTTCGAGTAAAACGACTTTCAAATGACAAGGATAAAATGCTTTGAAAGGGGCGGATCCAGCAAAATACGCCAAGGACGGAATACCAAATGGCAACATTCCTACCTCATTCCCTCCCAGACTCGCCATATTTGCCTAACGGCAGAGGAAAGATGGCGTGGGAATTTTTGAGAAGCCACCGCTCTGGCCCCGACTCTTATATTTTCTTTTCTTTCTCTTTTTTTCTTTACTTTCGTCTGGAGACTCGGAATTGATGTCTCCGCTAACGTTTCTCGAGCCGTTGAACCCCGGCAAATTGATTCCACTCGATTGTTTCTCTCTCTCTATCTCTTTCTCTCTCTCTCTCTCTCTCTCTCTCTCTCTCTCTCACGCATTCCCTTTTTAGCCGAAAGACAAGGCAAATGGCCTTCTTCCGCCCCGCTGCGAGCCATTCAAGGGGGCCACCCGCGCAAAGCCATCCTAATTTACTACCAATCTTTTTTTTAGGGTTTAGAAACTATATAGCGTTACAAAATCAGCTTATTTTTATTTTTTATATATATTTTTTTATTTGCAGGTGGTTCATCCCATTCGTGATGGATTGGCTGAACGAAAACGACGAGCACTCGATGGAGATCCTGAGAAATGCCTATAATCGGTAAGATTCACTGATCTAATTCTTTATTTTATGACATTCTATAAAATGGTTGTAGTAGATAAGTATCATATTAACAATACCTTATTTTTTAGCGACAAAGCCGACCACTTCCCACAAACCTCCGACCATACAAAGTTCTCCAACTCGGTCGTCGACGTCTTCACCCAGCTGAACGAAGCATTGAAGCTGTTGAAGCAGGTCAGCTTCAACTTTAAGGCCGAAACTTTATAAAATTTGCAAGTAGAAAAACAGCCTTTATTCAAAATATTTTTACTTAATCCCTCCCAAGTATTATAATAACCTCACTCGGGGTTTTCCAGATGGACTGCCCTAATCCGGAAGTATACGCGGAGATGATGCGACGATTCTCGAAGACGCTCAATAAGGTGCGTTTTTGGGTTAATTTTTATGGCATCAATTTTAAAGCGCCGTGAATTTTAACTTAGCCTTTAACGACTGCGCTGTTTTGACCGCTGACTATTACAGGTGCTGCTCGCCTACGCGGACATGGTCCAAAAAGATTTCGCCGTGTTCGCCAAGGAGGAGACGATGGCGTGCATTTTGATGAACAACGTCCAGCAATTACGGTATGTTTTCCGAGTTTTATCGTAAAAATCAGCGTCTTTTTCACCGTTTTCGTTTTTGTTGGGTGCAATTAGAGCTCTGGCACTTTGATTGTATCGTAAAACCCTTTGAAGAACGGTTTTTATAGAGTACAACTCGAGAAGATCTACGAGAATATGGGCGGCGCCGAGCTGGACCAGGAGGCAAGCCAGGTGCTGACCAACCTGCAGAAGAAGCTGAATTCGGTGCTCGACAAGCTCAGTCGAATGGTGCGTTTTTCGAGAAGTTATTGATGGTTTCGTTTTAGCATTGGTAATAATTTTGTGCGCTATTTTCTCCTTTCCAGTTCGCCATCAGCTTGGAGCGCGGTATCGACGGGCAGATGAACGAGCTCGGCACCCGTCTCGCCAAGGTCAAGGGCCCGCAGCTGCAGAAGACGCAAGTTCAACAGGTTGGAGGTTTTCTAAGGAATTTTTTTGCCAAAAACTTCCATATTTCCGCTTTTAAACTACTTTATTCTAAATTTTGCGCCCCAAAAAATGCCGTTTTTCAGGAAGTGGACATGGTGTTGGCGCCGTTGATGGATATGCTGGAGGGATCGCTACAACGATATGCTCAAGGATGCGAAAAGACTGTACTGAAATATCTACTAAAGGTGATTATAATGATAATATTAATTTTATCATTTTTTTGTAAAATTATAGGTCTATTTTAACGTATTTCTAGGAACTGTGGCGAATGACAATCCAGGGTATGGAACGAATCGTCGTGTTGCCACCTTTGGCAGATAAGAATGCGGTAAGTTGGGTTTTACGAACCTATAAAAATCTTGTTTTTTGGTCCTTTTGCATTATCGGGGGGAGGCTTTTTCCTTAGGATCCAAATTTTACAATATAGAAAGAGAACGTGTTTCTCAGCTGTTTTTTTTTTGCTTAGAAACACTTTTTTGTTTGATTTAAATTTTCACTATTACTAGATATTTCTGAACTTAAAAAGTAAAAAATTCCATCCCCTTGATAATGCCAAAGCACCCGAATGTTTATGTTTTTAGATCCTGCGCCAACTACCCAACGCCAAAATCGGCGGCGCAATGAAGCTGGCATCTACGTTGAAGGATGTAAAGAGTATGAATTCGGTGAAGGAAATGATGGTGGGTTATTTACCACGGTAATAGAGCCCCTTTTACAGGCTAGATCCGCTTTTTTGCGGTATGATATGACCCAATTCAGGACCTTGCCCGAGACTCGGAACGTGCCCTAACCCCGAAGCAGTGCACAGTACTCGACGCGGCCCTCGACGTCATCAAGGAGTCGTTCCACGCCGGAGGGATGGGACTGAAGAAGGGATTCTTCGAGAAGAGCCCCGAGTTGCAATCCCTGAAATATGCTCTCTCACTGTACACCCAGACCACCGAGCAGCTCATCAAGACGTTCATCAGGACGCAGACCTCGCAGGGTAAGTTACGAAGTCAATTTCGAGCTTTTTGGTCATTAAGAAACCGATTACGCTATGAAAATCAGTGAAAAATCCGAATATTTCAGATCTGCCCTCGCAAGAGCAACCGGTCGGCGAGATATCCGTCACGGTCGACCTGTTCAGCCATCCGGCCACCGGCGAGCAGAAGTTGACGATAAAAAGTTGGTTCTTAAATATGTATTTATTAAGATAAATATACAAAATTGAGACGTAAAATTATTTCCAACTTTCCAGTTTATGCTGCCAACGATTTGCGCTGGCAGACGACGTCCGTCTTTAAGCCGTTCGTCGAGGTGCACCTCGTAAGTTTATTTCGTTAATATCAATTAAGTTAAAATTTTATCAATTTTGACTTTAATCTAAATTAACTATTTTTATACATATCGTTTTAGGTGGGTCCGCATTTGGCCGATAAAAAGCGGCGCGTCGCCACGAAGTCACGCCAAGGCGAATGGGCGCCAAAGTTCAACGAGACTTTCCATATGTAAGTAAACTTAGCTAGATATAAAATTCATTATACGATAAGTACTTCTAGTTTTTGTGCTGTTCACCACCAACCCCTTTCAGGTTCCTGGGCAACGAGGGCGAACCCGAGCACTACGAGCTGATGTTCCAGGTGAAAGATTACTGCCTGATGCGCGAGGATCGAATCGTGGGCGTTGGCGTGCTGCAGCTGGCGCAAGTTGTTGAAGCCGGTAGGTCACTGGAATAAAAAAAGATAATATTTTTATAACGCAAATATCCCGATTTTTCAACCAAAAATTGCGAAATTTTTCTGGGTTTTGGACAGAGTCCCGATTGAAATCTAGCTAAATTTTACCTAAAAATACTATTGGTACGTCACAAGGCGTTTCTGGAGCTGTAGGTCCCCCCGATAACGCCAAAGAGCCGATTGCTCCCTTTTTAATCCTTTTGAATTCGAATAAAAATTTAGAATAAAAGACTTTTAGCTGAATTTGAACCCTTTTCTGAAGCCGAAAATTCTTTTCCAAACGATTTAAAACATAAAATAAGAAAAAATCGTGGAAAAAGCCGGGAATCTGCCTCTAACAACCCTAACCCAACGGGCGTTCGCCGGCCCCGCCGAGACAAGACCCTCCCCCGCGGCTCCAGTCTGCCTCTGCCCGTGGTCTAGTGGCTAGCGTGCCAGGCTGGCGTGCCACCCATCCCCGGTTCGACCCCACCCGTTGCAGGCGGATCGTTGAACCAATGGGTCCAGCTGGGCGCCCGGCTTCATATTGATGACACGGGGCTCATCCTGCTGCGCATCCTGTCCCAAAGGCAGAATGATGAGGTGAGTGATAGTGAATGAACAGTGATGATAGCTATCGACTGACTGCAAGTGAATGAGTCGATTCCCCGTCTGAGTTCTAATATTTTTTGCGTTTTCTTCTTTTTGTAATAAATAGAAGAATTGTTAAATTGTTTTTTATGATATCTAGACGTAAAAACTTTACAAATTTTCAGTAAAAGTTACAAATATTCTAGATCCTTCGACAAAATTGCCCCATTTTCGACCAAAATTCCAAAATTAGGAATTAAGCTAGTAAGAGGGAATCATTTTACAATTGAAGCCTAAACAAAAAATGATCAACTTTCCAGGTGGCCAAGGAATTCGTGAAGCTGAAGTCAGAATGCCGCTATGAGACCGAGGGCACAATGCAAGCATCCGCTTCATCCCACACCATCAATCGGTGACAGCTTTCCATTGGCCACAGTTAACACTCCGTACTACACCTATCGACGGGTCCCTGCAAAAATCTTCGCTTTTCTTGTGATTCTCTCGATCGCCGAGTCGAGCTTCGTCTATATTTCTGGCTGACAACGCTTGTCTATTCCTGCAAAATCTCGACGATGCAGCCCAGCTTCCTTTATACTAGCAATAATTTTAGCCCTAATTTATATATATTTATTACTACCCCGTTATTTTTTTTGCAAATTCTGATATGCGCAAACCGGTGACCCCCATTTCACTGCATTCCATTCCTCGACCAATCAATTTCTGCTTTTATATCCATTTTCGCATTTATTTCCCCCGGCCATGTGTTTCGTGCATTTTTTGAGTCTGACAGACTTCTACGCCCCGCTTTCGGAAGCCTTTCATCCTGTATTTACGTCGTGGCGGAGGGAGCGGAAAGTTGGATTTGGAATCTAAAAAATGTAAACATACTAGAAAATCAACTCGCCGCGCTCCTCTACCACGCCCCCCGACCTCTTATTGTACACACTACTCAGTCCGCACCCAGAAACAAAATATTGCGCCCAAGTGCCTTTCCCCACGCTAATAAAGTTTTCTCATAATTAGACAAGCATTACTAAAGCAGCAATATTACACTGAGAATCACATGATTTATCAAATTGTCAATGTACTGCATAAAAATACGGTCAATTCACTTCTGCCGCGCCTGCTGGAATTCCGTCATCAGCTTGGCGAGCTCGGCCGTTTCCTCGATGGTGATCGCATTGTACAGTGAGGCGCGGATACCGCCAACGGATCTGGAAAAAAGAAGATAAAAACAAAAAGGAAAACCGCACCTATGTCCTTTCAGCCCAATCATTCCGTTGGCCGTAGCTTGAGCCAAGAATTCTTTCTCTAACGCTTCATCACCGTTCGGTCCACCAATCCTGAAAAAAAATAAATAAAAGAAAATTCTGGATGGCAATCGCCTGATCGAAAAATCGCCTCAACGAAAAACACCTGATCGAAAAAATTCTAAAAATTTGTGGTTTTTCTCAGCTTCTAACATGTGTTCAAACTAGATTTTGAGTCATTTCCGATTAGACGAATTTCGATCAGACGATTTTTCGATCAGGCAAAAGATTTTTCACACCTGAACGGGAGGTTCATCAGTGACCGATGTTTCTTGTCGATTGGGCAATGGTAGAAATCATTCGATCCGTCGATAATTTCGTAGATTTGGTTGGCTTTTTGCTAAAAAGAATATTAATGCAAGTCATCTATAATCATACCGTATTGATCTCCCACAATTTTGCGGCACCTCCCTTCTCCTTGATCCACTTCAAGACGAGGTTAGTGATGTAAATGCTAAAATGGATGTTTTCACGAAATTCCAGGAAAACGATACCTATACACAGAGGGCGTATTGTAGACGCTGTTGTTGTCGTGCGAGATTTTGTAGGAAAGCACAGATGGGGTGATTGTCATTTCCTAAAAAGTAGTCTGTGGATAGAAAAGTAAGCTCACGTGGCCAATCAAGTCCTTGCGCACGATGGCTACCGTCAATCCAGCGGCCCCCAAGTTCTTTTGTGTGCCGCCGAGCACGACGCCGTGCTAAAAAAACGAGGTTTTTCGAATTTTGCAAAAAAACTCACATTAGTAAAATCGAAAGGCCTTGAGAGGAATGTGCTGGAAATATCGGCAACAAGCGGCACGCCGGGCAGCGTTTCGGGAGCCTAAAAATAAATAAAAAAACTCCGAGTTGGCAAAATTTACGTCAAAGAATTCGATGCCGTGAATCGTTTCGTTTGCGCAATAATACAGGTAGGCCGCGTCCGGATTGCGCTCCCATTTGTCAACAGGCGGCACCGTCGTGATCGGCTTCACCTGGGGGAACACCTAAACAATTCAACATTAGATAGCTCTCGCGCCAGGGCAACAAACTCGTTTCGCGTCCAAATACTTCTGGGCCTCCTTGAACGCTTTGTCGGACCAGGAGCCGGTGACGAGGTAATCAGCGGAACTCTAAAAAATAATTTTGAAAATTCCGGGTCAAAATGCCTTGTCGCGCTTCAAATTCAGCGGCACAGCCGCAAACTGCCCGGTTCCGCCACCATGCATGAAGAGCACCTCGAAATTGTCAGGGATTTGCCTGAAAATAAGGTCCTAAAATGAATAGAACACCCCACATCAATTCACGCAGCAGCGCCTTCGTCTCCTCGATGATGGCCGTGAAATCGGCGGATCGGTGGGACATTTCTAGGAAGGAAAATTGCAGATATTAAAAAACAGGCTCACCAAGAATTGAGACGCCAGTATTTCCAAAAAGCATGAACTCGCTGGCCGCCTTTTCCATTACCGATTCCGGGATTTTGGCCGGTCCGGCGCCGAAGTTGATCTTCCTCGTCATTGTATCGACTAAAGCATGAAATTTGTAAGAGAACACAATAGAAAACCAAAAAGGACGGCAATAGAAAGAATATGGGGCTAATCAAACCCGGAACCCTAGGCTACCGATAGGTGCTAAAAGTGCCGGTTTTCACCGCGGATGCACCGCGAATCGGTGACGATGTTGGGCGGGAAAAACACGGGAACTTGATAAGGCGGTGCAATGGGGTCAGTCAGTGGGGGGAAGTCGCCGCAGGGCATCTGACCATCCCGGTCAATGTCCACAATAGATCGCCGTGCACAGCAGATCAAAAGCCAAACTTGCACTAGAAGGTCAAACGGCGTAGCAGTTCGGCTTTTATGACAGCTAGCAAACGTCGCACGTTTCGCACGATTGGAATACGCCACATAACTATATTTGGGCACTAAAATCATAGTAGGTAAAAAGTCGTCCCCCGAAACCGAAAATCTCGCGCTCGGAGTCCGAAAATAATCTATACGATCGGGCCATATAAAGACCGTAACCAGCGGAAATCACACCACAAGCTCCCCTAAATGCCATCTTTATTCACAATTGGAGACGAGTATAACAGGGTTCGTTGCAGGAATTTGATAGTCATACAACAGACAATTAAGTCATAATTACAGCACAATCGATTTTGTCGCTTTCGCCGTGTTTAATGTGGTGCATCCGAGTTCCGCGTCTCATGCCAGTCGAGCGCTTCCACGCCGCATCAGCTAAAAATCGGTATGTATGGGCTGAAAAATAGATTCCTACCGGGCTCGGGGGCTTCTTATCATTCTTGTTCTGTAACCTTATTGGGCGGGTACCTCGATTCGTGCGCTTGTAAGGGGCTAAAAGAAATACATAGGCTCAACTAAAATGGCATACCTGGGACAGGATAAAATTTGTGGGTGAACGCTTCAAAATGGTACTGCTTCTCGATGGACGGTGGCCGCGAGGGCAGGATGATGTGTGGATATTCGGGTCCGGGGCGGGTTGTCAACGGTGCATCCATATCCACCGTCATACAGCTGATGATGTTGCGCACCTGGAATGTACGTGCTCAAAAATTGGGTTGAGGACGAACTGTATTGCCGAAGACGACGTCCTTGTCGAACCAGCCCTTGTCCTTCACTTGCATCTCTTTAACGGAGACCCACGGGTCGATGCAGATCCTGTAAACCAAGATTGACATGTATTTCCGGGGATAAGCAAATTTCTATACTCCGAAAAAAAGAAGCGTTTCTAAAATCTTAAAGAAATCTAACCAGATATTACCAAAAACCCTATTCAAATACTCTCCATCACGCTACTAGGCGTAACAGGAGTTTTAAAAACAAAAATAAAACCCTTAAATTCCGTTTCCCCCCAGAGCCATGAAAGAACCGAAACCCTAAGAGCCGACAACTCACTCTTCTTCAGGGGGCTCAGCCAGTTTTTTGCCTTCTTTGGCGACGGCTACAACGTGTCATTGACAGAAAAACCATATTTCCCGACCGACGACCACCGATGAAGCGATCGCCTTCTCCTCGCTCGTCGTATCTTCGCCTTCTGCGATAGGAGCACACCAGAATGGGCGGTTCTAGATCTATTTACGAGCAGTCATCCAAAGGTACCGCGACGAACAGCTTGCCGCCGTTGTTGCGGTTGGTCGTGACAAGCACGAGATCTTTGCGCACAACATCTTGGATTTGCAACACAGTCGCCGCCGCATCTTCGTCTCTCATCTCCAATTTCTTCCCTCTAAAAGGACGATCAAATTAAGTGTTATTCCGCGGGCTTACACTTTCGGAGATGATGTCACCGTGTCGTCGCCTTCTTTCAAGAGGTGCGTGTTCTGCAATAAATAACGGTTCTGGGCTGTTACCGGGGGGCCTAACCTGGACCTAACGCCCGGTAGAGCCGAGCCATGAAATAAAAACTCTTTGTATAGCATTTCACGCAGTTTTTAAATATAGAAATTTGACAAAATTATTTCAATTTGCGAAAAACCTTGATTTTTGGTTAAAAATTTGATTCTGGCATTTTGTAAAGATTCGAATTGGCTTTACTTTTTCGTAAGCACGGCGAACGATTGAATACCAACATATCCGGAGCATTCGATCTTAGATCGAGCTTTGCGTGTCAGCCTGCTGAGCGTATCGTCTTTGGGGAAGGGCTTGTTGAAAGCGTGCTTCAATCGTAGACCAAGGCCTTCCGGGGATGCCGCATCAACAGGCCCTTTCTTGAGCCTAGTGGTTGCAAATGAACTCAGCTCCGTCTCCGCGGGTTTCGGCGCCGGTGCCGGTGGCGTCTCTATAACGAAAGTATTTCCCCTAATATACATTAGCTACAGCTGTAGCGAAAAATCGGTTCTTTCGCATTATCGCGGGTGGGTCGCAACTTTTTAGCCGCTAATTTTTTTAAATATAAATAGAGGAAGTGCTCCTAAAAAATGCTATCAATTTTTATTTAGAAATCACAAAAATATCGATTTTCGAGCAAAAATGGCCGAAATTTGACAAATATCTATTTTTTAAGATTTTAGATAGTGCTTCTAGTTGAAATATAATTATATTAGATTTTACTAAACACACCATTAAGTCGCTTCCTATTAAGTTATTAGACAATTCAAGGCCTATGCAAAAAAGTTCTGAAGACACATTTAAAGCTAAAAGAAAAATACGGTAACCTACGCGGACAAATAAAAAAAAAACATGCCATTCTTTCCCAGGAGGAAGTGAAAGAAGCTTCTTTGGTTCTTTGGTTTCACAACAGGCGGCGGCGGCTGAAAGTAAGGATATTATTGGCAAATTTTTGGCAACAAACTTTGTACATCGTACCCAGAGCCCAATCACAAGGATCGTCAATAGTCTCCGTACTCATTCGCCTCCTGCGGGACCTCCTCTACAAGCAATTTTGATGATGTGAAAAATCGTCTACAGGCTTTGGCACAGCAGGAACGGGTCGTTCGGACGCTGGCTTGACTGGTGTTTTCGCATCTTTCGCATCGGATTCGACATCCTTAAAAGTCATTCCCTGGGTTAAACTTTGGTCCAGCCCTAGTTCAATCTATAAGCACTGCAGATATAATGTTTACCAGTGTTTTCTCATCAACCACCGTGCCCGCCTCTTTTTCCTTGCGGTTCGCCTTCGAGAGGCTCCTTGGTTTCTTGGCCTTCTTCTTCTCTTCGTCGTCAGTAGTCGCCTGCGTCTTCATGGAAGAGATTTTTGGACACTCATCGTCGTCGAGAACCGTGTGATCAACCGTTAGTTGTTTGGCAGGTGACTTGGAAGGTCTTTTCTTGCGGTTCCCATCCTGAAAACAACCAAAATGACCGGTTCTGGACCGTTAGGGCGTAGACCGAAGATAGCCCCCGCTCGGCTCTCACCTATTTTATCTCGGCCTATCGTTTTTCTAGAGGCGTATAACGTATACCAAAATGTTCGTCTTGCTCTGGCGAGTATTTTGGCGTACTTTACAGACCTGTAGGGCAACGGGGATGGGAGCTACACTAGGTGAGGGTCGGGCCGAGGGGGGGTGGGGGGGGGCTATCTGCAGTTTGGAACAAAATTGTGTTATTTTTTAGGAACGTTTTCTATCCCGGATAATAAGACCCAGCTAGCCCGCCCCCCCTCGCCAACAACCCAGAATAAACCTAGACCATCAAAACCGAGTGCTCAATAATAATCACGTGGCTCACATCGTCGTCAATCACAGTCTTATCGCGATCGCGATGCTTCGGCTTCGAAGGCGACTTGGCCACCTTGGCCTTCGGTGGGTCTTCCTTGTCATCGACATGCGTCCCATCCGTCGACTGCGTCTGCTTCGACCTCTTTTTCTTTGGCAAGTCCTAAAAAGAGAATCATACTTGGAAGGTGACGATAAAGTATCACGCACATCATCCACACATGTCTTCCCATTATCGCCCTTCGTCTTCATCGGAGACTTGGCTGTCTTTTTTCGCCCAGCATCGATGTCGTCAACAACCGTCGCATCGACATCCTTCGGCTTCGAGCTGGTCCTTTTCGTCTTCTTCTTGTTCTTCTCCTAAGAAAGTTTCAAGAGAGACCTAGACGCCTTACATTTTCCGATTTCTTCCGAGGCTTTTGGGCATCTTTTGTGACAGCCTCTTCTTCATCTATGGTGGTCTTCTCCCCGATTTTCGGTTTCGAGCGGGCTTTGGGGGCCTTGTGGTCCTTTGACTCCTAAAAATAGATTTAAGTGCAAACAAAAAGCTTAAAAGTGCAGGAAAAGTGCCACCTCCTCATCAATCACCGTCCTACCGCCACTTCTCGGCTTCGAAGGAGATCTGGCGATGCCCTCTTTATTGTCTTTCTTCTTCGTGTCCTGGAAATTTTGGCAGAAGTCGAGAAACTAGGGTTGGCCTGACCTTTGTCACGAGCGCTTCTTCTTCATCATGGGTCGTCTTGTCACCGGCTCTCGGCTTTGAGCGAGCCTTTGTGGGCCTGTCCTCCTTTGCTCCATTGTTCACCTCAGCCACATCCACATTTTCGCTCGTTGACGGCTTCGATGGTTTGCGCAGTGCTTTTTCCTCCTATAAGCGAGAGTTGAATCTAATTAGTTAATTTTCCTAGATACATACAAAAAAGTAATAGTCACCTTAATGTCAATCGTCGCCTTGTCGTCAGATTTTGGCTTCGAAGGGGACTTTTCCACGTTGACCTTTGGCGTGTCCTCTTTTTCGTCGGCATGAGGAACGTCTGCGGCATTTGGCTTGGAGCACGCTTTGCTGGCTTTCTTTTCGACTTTCAACTCCTAGGCGAGCAACATATACGTTAAATGCGGCCTCACTGTACCTGATCCTCCACATTTTCCGGATGTTTCTGATTGTCATTAGCAACATCAGCGGCGTTTGGCTTTGACGGCGCCTTGCTGGCCTTCTTTTCGATTTTCAAATCCTGGAAGAGCAACATATATATGAAACGAAGGATAGTTGTACCCCCTCCTCCGCGTTTTCCGGTGGTTTCTCGGTGTCATCGGCATTCACGGTTGCGTTCGGCTTGGGAGCCTCTGGTGCGGGCTGGGGATCCTTGCCGTCTTCTCCGTTGTCGGGTTTTGCTTTGTCGTCGTGGGCTTCTTTATTCGGAGGGTCGGCAGTCGGTTGTTCTTCACCCTAAAAAGGGAATTTTGTGAGTGCGGCACCATGGAACCGGATTACCTTGGCTAGGGCGGTCACCGGCAGCAGTGCAGTGTGTGCTTCGCCACCAGGAGCAGCCAGAGTCTTTGTCTCCTCATTAGCTGTAGGATTCGGTGTTTCTGAACCGCCGGGTTCTTTCGGTTTTGGACTAAATCAGAAGGAGTTTGCTGGAGGAAAAAGAAACTCACTCTGGATCGGCTGGTGCAGCCGGCTCAGCCATCCGGACAGTGCGAGTAAAGTCGACAAATGCCGGCGGTCAACAATGTTCGATAGTCATCGGGATCTCTAAATGCCAAATTATGCAATTGTTTGTTCCAATTCTAATTACCAATTGGTAATTTTTTAAAAGGAAGAAAAAGTGAAAAACGGGTTCTTCCTATGTGACGGGGGGAAGCTAATTTTTACCTACCTGTTGATGGTAAATAATGTTTTTGTAGTGTTTTTAGTAGTTGTAATTGTTAGAAAGCTATGAAATCCGAACATTTTTTACCCTTTCTGGCCTTTTTCATGCACTTTTAACCAAAAAGTAAAAAATGTTCAAAGATTGCTATATTTTTTAGAATCTTTTGGTAGCTAAAAACTACCTAAAATACTACAGGGTGTCCCAATAAAAAAGGTCACGCTGGCATTTCCTCATTTCAAATCCGATCGACTTGAAATTTTAAACAGAGCTGCGGAAGGGAATTTAAAACGTTCACAGAAACTTTCAGCCTGATCGGTGCAGTAGTTGTCGAGTTATAGCGTATAAGAATGGTGAGCAAGAAGTTGAGCATGTTTATTCAGATACAAAAAAGGCAATGCCAGAATGAGAATTGTCAGTGTTGTTCGGTGTAGCCGCCGATGAATGAGCAGCACCACACGTCCGTAGCAGCGGTATCAGCACAACGGGGCGTCTTTGAGCATGCGGCTAATACGGGACGGGAATATCAAAGTTCTTTTAGAAAATAACCAACAATTTTGGCTGGACGAATTGGACGGCGGGCGTGCCATTATTTCCGGTCTTCTCCTGAAAGAAACAGCACACTTGACCTTCTCGTCGCGTGGATCAATAAAAATCAACACAATTGAGCAGTTTCCTGTTTTGCCGCTTGTAATCCTGGAACCCACATTCGACATCTTATACGGCGTCTCTTTCAGCCATTCACTCGTGATCATCTCGTTGTAATCGAGTCGATTGCCCGGATCGGGATGCAGAATGCCGAGGATCAGCTGACGGACGGCCGATGAGAGACGCGGAGCACTCGGATAACTACGAAGAAGCCTGACGAAACCTGTACCAAACCTACCGAACCATGTGCGTCATCTGGCGCTCGACCATCTTCTGCAGGTTCCCCTCATCGTACGGCATCACACCGGTCACCATAATGTACAGCACGATACCCATGCTCCAGATGTCCACCTGAATGCTAGCAATAAGCCGGCTTTCTCCCAAACTAACCGCATTCCCGCCATACTTTTGTCCTCGCAGAATCTCGGGCGCTACGTAGATCTTTGACCCGCAAAAGGTGTCGGATTTCTGAAAGATTGAGTGTAACAGTGAGTACGTAAAACCTCGAAAAGTCTAAAGTCTCACCTCTCCCTTTTTCAGCACGCGTGAAAAGCCAAAATCGCCGAGCTTCACGTTGTCGAACCGGTCGAGGAAGACGTTTTCGCATTTGAGGTCGCGGTGGACGATGTCGTGCGCTTCAAGGTACTGGAAGAAACAGAAATACGAAGGAACTGGACAAATCTGTCCTCTTTTTCCGGTAGCTAAACTTCAGATACCCCGCACCCTAAGGTTGTATCTCCACTCCCCTTTGGCCTACAGATGTGTAAAGTGTACCAAATGTTCGTCTTCGTCTGGCGAGCATTTTGGTATACCTTACAGCCCCGTAGGACAATGGGAAGCCCAGATACAGTCCTTGAGGGCCGGGTGGGGGTTCTTTAGTTTAGACAAGATATGGCAAATCTGTAAAATAAACCTTCATCGCCTCAATCAGCTGACGGAAAAAGGGCCTTGCCTCGACTTCGGTGAGCTGCTTGTTCTTTAACGTTAAATTAGTTTTTAGTTAAGTATAAAAGAAGCCCCTACTCGCTTAATCCGGTCGAGGAGATCGCCATTTGCGCAGAATTCGCCTTCAAACACCGTAACTTTTGGGCCCTCGAGGAAGTACACCTATAAAACCCTAAAATAATCACAATAATATAAACTAAATCACCTTGTAAATTCTTGCAATGTTTGGGTGGTTGAGGCGGCGAACAATCTCAACTTCACGCGGCAAGAATCTTTGGATATAATCGCTCTTTGCCTTCATCTCAATCACTTTCAGCGCAATCTCCATCTTTTCCGGGTTGACGGCGCAGTATACCTTTGAATATGAGCCGCTACCTGCTCGGGATTGTTGTTCATCAACAATTCCCCACCAATATAACGCCCAATCCGGATCCCGCGCGCTTCTATCGTTTTCTTGGTACCGATTTCGAGTTCTGAGTCTTCCCTATAAAATGGGGGGTAGGAAAGTGTTTTTTTGCTTACTTGGACATGTTCACAGATAATAAAAGAAGTAGAAAATGGGACAAAAACGGATTTTTTTTCTTGCAATTGTTGGGAATTCCGGTATGCGGGATCTAAATTTGTTTCCGGTCATACTCCTGAAATCTTCCAGCCCGTTTTGAAAGCCAACTTGATGTTTTTCATTTGTTTTTAGTCCGAACTTTGATTTTCTGGCTCGCGGGGCTGACTTTTCATAAACGTACTTTACAAAATTTTACCAAGGATACAAAAACATCGAATTTTTTTCCGTCAAAACTAGATTCTTTAGCTAGTTTCCCATCTAAGTTCTGTTTTGATTTTACTAAAAACATTACTAAAACCCATTTCATGTAACCTCAATCTACATTTCTGGGCTTACAGGAAAAATTCTCAAAGTTTGGTTCATTTCGGGTTGGACACCCGGATGCCCGGAAGGGCCAGCCCAGCGGGTTCCACTTTTTCGTGTAAGTGGCGCTGAAGCCATATGTGCGCGGGGAGGGACCGCAATTTCGGCCGTATCACATCACTTTTCTAGGGCTCTCGTGTACATTCCGGGATCTCTTCTTTTTTTAAAATCTCGGTAATCACAAATTTTCGATGCTGACGACATCAAGCGCTTCAAAGAGCTCGAGCAGAGGATTTTTATCGTCGGCTCGGTAAGCTGTATGACGGGGTATTGGAGGTAGAAGGGGGGCTGCCTGCCGGAAATCCGTTTGCATCCGATAATCGTCTCGACTCAGGGCCGCCTTATTGCTATTTGTCTGGATGGCTGTTTTTTGGGATGAAGGGAAGATGAACAGCTATCGTTATTTTCGGTGCTTTCGTGTTATTGGGTGGGGTCAAGTTTTTCGTTCAAGAAGCAATTTTTTTAATATAGAAACTAATAGAACTTTTCTAATTCTAAATAGGTAAAGCGTTTCTAAACCTATTTTCATGATAACATAAACGTAAAAGCTGTTGAAAGCGTTATTAAACATACAAAAAAAATATTGATTTTGGACCAAACATGAACGAAACGATTTCCGACCAACCATTTCCGAGTTTTAAAAAAATGTATAAGTCTTTAATGAGTTTTCCGCTTGAAATATTGTTAAATTTGCTAAATGACTATGACATTACTGGGCATTTCTGAATCCTCAAAAACTTTGCTTCCCCCTCCCCGATAACGCGAAAGGACCTTATTTTCTCTTTTTTTTGGGGCTCTATTTATTTATCGCATGCGCACCTTGTCTGATTTTTCTCGCAATCTTTTAAAGTCCTGCTAGCAGTAACCAATACGTTTTCCCCGACTTGCCCTGCCCCTTTCGGGTCCCTTTCGAGTTTCCGGTGGGTATTTCTGGTGGGATGCACTGGCCCACTGCATTATTCCTGGGTTCTCCCATTCAAAAAACGGGGGCACGTCGGCCAGAAAAGAGGGCTGCCAGGGGTCTGATTGAATTTCGGGCATTGACACGAGGGTGATGGATCGGATGTCCATCCCATCCGATGGCTTCTTGCCTAATTTGGAGCCTTTCGAAAGGGGAAGATTGAGATCGTGGGTAGGAGCCGTGATTTGAATAATTTGGCGACAATTTGAAAGGTTTCTCTCTGCCCGACGGGTTCTGATGCGTTAGCAGGGGGGGGCTGAATTCAAGAAGTTTTAAATAGCTACATTTTTCATCGTTTTTAAATAAAATTTTTTAGCATTTGAAGTGAGTCCAAAAACCTATTAGAATTCGTAGGATTTCCTTATTCGAAGCCAATTGCGGGCTAGGGAAGAGGAAAAATCCCCCCCCCCCCGTTATTGAACAAGCGCCGTCGGGCATTGGGCTTTTAGCGGAGGAGGGGTTTGGCTGGAGGTAATAAGGCGTTTAGCGTCACACCGTTTTTAGATATAAAAAACGCTAAACATTGTCGAAATTTTGAAAATTATTGTTTTTGGTGAAAATATATAGAAAATGGCTAAACAAAGCTCATCTTTTAAAGTTTTTTATGATTATCTATCGCTTGCTTAATACTAGAAAGGCTATATATAAAAACATTATATCATGGGCGGAAAAAAATAACAATAAGCCCCCCCCCGCTAACAGTCCAGTACCGCAGTTTTATGGAAATTGAAGTTTTATGAGTTTTTTTCCGTTTCATTTAAAAGGCTTTTTTATACACTTTTCACAACACCTACTACGCAAATCTCTCAAACGCCCGTTTCCCCAGGGGGGAAGGATATTTTTTCCTGGGGGAGCACGACCCGAAGCGTGAATAATTCCACGCCGGAGGTGAGTGAGGAGTGTGTGCGAGACTTGGCCCAAATATCAACCACGTAGATGATAGACGGGTAGAAGCTCCTGCAAACATATTTTATTTTTGCTATCGCTTGACCGGCACCCGGCCAAGGAATAGCAAGCCCCTTTTTTGGTACTGGACTGTTAGCGGGGGCGAGGCGGGTTAGCAGGGCTAAACGATTTTTTGTTTTTCCTCACACTTGTTCGTAATATATAATGTGTTTTGTCGTGCTTTTAGTTGTTTTTGGCTGCTAGAAAGTTATAAAAATGTTTTTAAAATTTGGTAACTCGAAAATTTCGATTTTTTTTTGCTCATTTTCAGACTTGTTTGGGTACTGTACTGTTAGCGGGGAGACTGTTTTTTATTTATTTTCCGCCTACCTATTAAACAAAATATATATTGTATTTTCATAGTATTTTCAATCGTTGTTGTTTGCTAGAAAGTTCAACAAAATTTTCACATTCAAAAATGTTGACGTTTTACGCCCGTTTTCATGCATTTTTACCAAAACGGCAAAGCTTTTAGGAATTCTTACAATTTTTTACGCTTTTTAGATCTAAAAACTGTTGAAAATGGTGATATGAATGGTAAAAATGGTTTTTATTTCGTAATAGGGCAGTCGGTATCACTGGGAAAAATCAGTCTCCCCCGCCAACAGTTTAGTACCGCGTTTTTTCGCCTTTTCACCCCAGCCAATTGTCACCCTCCATTTTTTGAGCCTCAGAAAATCTGGTCTGGTCCTAAATCTGTATTTTTCAGCCTCGCGACGGCGCCTCGTCGGAAAAGCTTTATCCTGGGGCTGTAGGGCCCCTGTGTGTAAGCCTGTTTTCTGCCATCGGGGAGGAGAAGACGAGGATGTGCGGTGGGGCAGTCTTATGAATGCTCCCCACGCTATCTACTCGGCCGCACAGCTACAAATATTGTAGCCTCTGTGCACCGCCGCGGCCGCCGCCGCCGGTAAGTGCTGCTGTTTGTGGCGATACCTGTTGTATCTCGGTGGCCTGTTGTCCTAGCGGGCTGAAAACTATACCAAGATGTTCGCCTCGGCCTGGCGAGCATTTTGGTATAATTTACGCCGCTGTAATATGGCGGGGAGCGAGATACAAGATGGTTTCGCTGATTCCGAATCTTTTTCTTCACTCGGCCTAGGTTCTCCATTTCAAAAGTTACAATAGTTTTTAATAATAATAGTCGTATAAATATAGTTTTTATTAAAATAGTTATAACTAAAAAATGGAATCTCGAAATCATCGAAAAATTCATCAAAAAGGGGGCTAGGCTATCTTACTTTTAGCATTATATTTTCGACTTCACCTACAATTAACCTTTCAATAAAATAATTGGAAGAATGCCAAACTCCTTTTTGCATCCCCCTTTATCCACCGTTTCGTTGTTGTTGTTGGTGGCAAATTTTTTGCCCCGAAATGCCATTTCCCATCGGTCCCCCTCCCCATGCCAAGAAAGGCCCATTTTCCGGGGGGTGTTCGACCTTGAATGTCGAAAACTAGGGTCGGCTAGGAATTTGTCCTTCCCCTTCCAGCCCTGCTAACACATGCATACTCAACGCGACTCAAAAGGTTACGAAGAGAAGGGCAACAGAAAAAACGTGGACTTTTTTGAAAAAACGAAATTCCGGCGGTGCTTATCCATTATCGGGGGGGGGGGACAATTGTCTATAAGATCCAATTTCACAAAACCTTTATAAACTTTATTTTACTATTTCTAGAAGTAAAACTTTAGAAATGCTTGTAATAGATTACAAAAAATACCGATTTTCGACTCTAAATGGCCGATTTTCGAATAAAATTTCGAATTTTTTAAATGGTGAAGCGTCTAAATAGTTTTTCCGCCTGAAATCTCGTTAAATGACAAAAAACACTATTCAAATGCATTACCATTATTACTCCGCATTTCTCGATTTATCGAGAACCAGGGTTGAAAAGCCTCTTCGCGACCTCTCAACCCTGGCCCCGTCTGATCACTTTGCACTTTCACATCACGTCACTTTGCATAATTCTCGGGCTTTTCTATGACAAAAATGAGAAACGCCCGCTCTCTACGCCATTATATAGACTACAGCAACTTCCGGCGTATGCTGATTATTTCCTAACAAAGAGGGTTCTCGATTTTTCAACAAAAACTTAATTTTAATGTCGAAAACAGCGAATTTTTGGTAATGTTATGAGTGTGCGGTCATCTCGAGGCCATTGCGCACCTAATGACGTATAAAACATACCGCTAAATACCCCCCTTATTGAGATATTGCTGGAACACGCTGACGGAAGTTGCATGCAAATGCACACACACAGGAACTATTTTTTTATATATACAGGGTGTCCCAAAAAAAACCCCCCCTACCTAGCGGTCCGCAGTCAAGTCCGATTTTTATGATTTAACTACCCATCGATAGCTCTCGAGAAGGCGAGAAAACAAGCGGGTCTCGTTTTCTAAGATTTATTCTAATTCCATCGATATTTAAGGTTTTTCTAAAAAAACTGGTACTTTTTCAACAGGAATTTCGCAATTAGCATGCAGATCCTGCACAAATTAGCACTTTTCATGGTTTTTGGACGTAAAATTAGCGAATAAAAATGCATAATAAAGAAAATGAACCCTCCTTGTTTTCTCGCCTTTTCGGGAGCTTTCGATAGATACCTAAATCGTAAAAATCGGAATCGACTGCGGACCGCTAGGTAGGGGGGGTTTTTTTTTGGGACACCCTGTATAGTAGGATATCGGTCCCCCTCCG